TCGTTTGCTGCTGTTTTCATCTTGAAGTAGAAGTTCTGCAGACGCTTGGGAACCCGAAGGCAATGGATGGAGGATTTTAGCGCCTCTGTCTGCATGGTAGAAATTGATTCGGTGGAAGTTGAGATCGCCCGCAATCAGATTAGTGAGAAACTAGTCAGAATCTTAGTAGACAGGAGGAGAAATCCACGACCTTATTTTTTATGGTTCTAATCTTCGTTTTTCTTTCGGACTTCTACTTTTTTAGACTTAATCAGAACGTGGAGGCCTTAATAAGAACGTGAAGGCCCTTAGCCCTGCTTTCTGGGTACTGTTTTCCCACTGCGAGTGCCAAGCGGTTGACGAATGCGGCTACCTCGCTATATTGGTGCACTAGAATCGGGTACTGGTTTTCGTTAGGCAGTGGCGCCAATTCCTCCCTTCCACTTCCACCGGCTATTTTTAGAACCAAGCATGTGAAGAGGACTTGCATTCTTGACCACGTGGAATCATCTTCAATCTTAGTCACGGACATGGTCTTCAAGTATTATAATCTATCCCGGAGGTTGAAGTTCGTCCTACAAACGGCCTTAAATTTTTTGTGAAGTAATTCAACGCCCTTGTCCCATCGTCGTTCACTGCATGCGCGTGTAAATTCAAGACTAGAAACAAAGAGTCGTCGTCTGTCGACTCGTCTTTGACGCGTTCAAAAAGGCCAGCAAGCACACCCTTTGCCGATATAGCGTCATCCCCGGTCGCCTCGGAAAACTTGTGAAACATCCTGAAATTAGAAAGAAGCAAAGCTCTGAATTCTTCTCTTCACTATAACCTACGACTCACACTCACTTCGCCAGATTCATCATGATCCACCTGAAAAGTAATCATCGACAATCTTAGTAATAAATGGACCAGTGGTCTACAGTCACTTGATCATTTCTTTAAATAACAAGAAAATACAAGAATTATCGCAACCCGTTCAAAAAGATGCCTGCTTCAATATTACAAGTAAATGAAGGTCATGTATGTGCCCCTGATGACACTGTCCGTAGTGCCCGTAGAATCATACCAGGATTAATTTACATAGCCATAAAGGATGGAGGCGAGCTGTCAGCTGATGTCGTGGCAGTTGTAGTGGACTGGCCAAGTGTGCGAAGGAGACGATCACGGTGATGCATTTGCGTCTTCCCTTGAACATGGATTCCCAGGAAAGATTAAAGCTCAGCATTCATTGGTCACTGACTCTGAACGGAAGCGACCTCCTCCAAGGCTCTCCCCTTTCCCTTCATTTTCCCCTGTTCTCTCAGAGGGACCCTCTTCGATTTCAGTGACCAACCTCTATGACCAATGAAAGTTGAGCCTTAAAAAGAGGATGGTGTTGGTAGTGTTGATGATGCTGATGCTGTAGTACTCTCACACTCTTCCCACCAAGGGTATCGTGCTGAGAATCCAAATATAGTAAACGCATTTCCAAACAAGAAGAGAAGAACAAGGGACACGTACTTGCAAACTTCTCCAGGAGATGAAGATGTTGGAGAAGAGTTCTTGCTGATCTTCTCCAGAGTTGTTGTAGGAGGTGGAGGTCTAGAAGTTGTAATTCTACTACTAGAAGTTGCCTCAACATCTTCTTCCCCTCCCTCTACATGATCGTCTTTGTCGTCGTCTACTTCTCTACTTCTTCTAGGAAGGAGCTCCTTGTTCTCCCCATCTCCTAGTAGTCCTCCTCCTCCTTTGAATTCGTCAAGTAGTGGTTTGTTCCTCCCGCTTTCCACCTCCGAATCTTCGTTCACACTGGAACGATCATCCCCCAGCGCCACCACATCAAGGTAGCACACCACTCCGCTTACGATACTACAAAGGACAGCCACAGCCACCAAAAAACGAAGCACTTCGCCGCGCATCATGCCCATTATGCCACTTACTAGGAGTAGCAGCGAGCCATCGAAGTGCGAAAACGCGCTGGCGCCAACGAGCCAAGGCAACACGTTTAACAGAAAGTAGGTTTCGACCAGAACACACAGAAGAACCTTCGCAAAGAATGCTACAGCTTGAACTCTGTTTGTCTTCGCGACCACGCTCTGAGTCGTCCCCTGCAACTTCTGCAGCTCTGAGTCGTCTTCGACGTTCGTTTTCGGTTCTTGCTGTACCTCTACCATGCTAAAGTTTAGAGATGTTGAGTGCTGTCGCTTTGACTTAAATGTATGCATTGTTGGTAGTTGCCACAAAACCCCTGATCTGATGATGATGGTCAGCTGCAAGTTGACCAAGAGAGACCACAACTAGCTCACTCACATCTCGGCCCTCTCCTCCACATCTCGACGACCCCTTGTCTCATCCCCTTGCATGATACGTAAATATTTCTATGCGATCGAACAAAAGGAGAGCAACGAAGAGATGCTTCTAAGAAAGAAAGATGCATAAAAAAAGCTGAAAATCAACATAACTTGTTGACTTCCGCTATCTCTCCCAGAGCGTCTTCCTTCTGGACATGGTCACCTGCAGGTGCAGATCCTTCTCCTCTTTTTTCGAGAAGAAGTGGCTCTTGCTCATGCTCCTGTCCTTCAGCACCTGCCTTGTCTATTTCTTTAACCTGAGCCTCCTCAACCTGAGCTGCCTCCTTTTCTTCTACTTCAAGAACAGCTTTAACAACACCTCCAACAACCAATGGCTTCTCTTCTTGTTCTTTGACAACATCTCCGACAACTAGTGCTGTTTCTTCAACAGCAGGTCCCCGCCACCTAAGCCATGTCTCCGCCGCTGCGCATACAACAAATACAATTACGAATGTCCAGAAGGAGACGTCGGCACCAAAATACCACCTTCTCTGGCAAATCCCACTCATGTCGTTTCCTATGCTCGAGACGGCTTCTTGTTTCTTAGAGTTAGACGAGCCATGTTGTTCAGCCTTACTTCTACAACTAAATATTATCCTTGATGCATGGTCGCATCTACTTCCTGGATAGCATCACGTCCTTGAAAGAGATAAAAGCATGGTCAGGACAGCTTCTTTTTCCAAATAAACCTAGGAAAATACTGAAGTAGCCAAGAACAAGGATCATGCTGTAGAAGTAGAATGGTGCAGTCCGCAGTGTCGCCATAAGTTCAGATTTCATCCCATCAGCGGACGACGAGATGTCAATTCCCACCATGTTCCATCGAGAAGCGTCATAGCAGGTCAATAAGCCAGAGTTCATCTTTGCCGGATTCTGATCGATTCCGTGCAGCGGAGACGAGCAGGAGAGAGGACGTTCTTCTTGATTATCATTAGGGGCTTCAAGTTGACCATATCTTCAAGGACTTCAAGTTTATCTGGGTCGCATACGTAGGCCTTCCCTTCTTGAAAACGTCCCAGATATGTTCATAGGGAGGTCAACTTCCAAGCCTTAAGATCAAGTAGCTTGCGAGAAAGATAGGCCGCCGTTTCCATATCCCACGGGAAGCCCCAAACCTCTTGAAACAACAAAAAGTCAAACGTTTTTCTCTTCCTGCTAGAATTAGAGTCGGCTTCTATTCATCTCGACGGTGCGCCCTTGCTCTCGACCATAATATGCCTATTCCCATGAAATACAAGGGACACATATAGATATACACTTACTACTTATTAAGGGCATCGAGATCGTGCTAAAATAACCAAAGATGGACACTAAATGTTGACCTTAATGCTAGAAGAACTCGCGACTTGTTCGTCTTGGAATAATCTCCTTTCCGCATTCTCCAGCAAAATGCTCATCAGTCGGTCAATTCGTTCAATACCAGGACGAATAATCGGCTTCATGAAGTCGGGAAAAAGCTGCAAATTGTACTGCAAGCTGATCACATCGTCGTCCTCGATGCTGTGGTCGACATTATCCTTGGGCTCGGCTCCAACATTGAGAAAACTATGATCGTGAGCTTTCTCGTCCATCTGGTGATCTACTAAAGAGTTCGAGTTGTACTGATCATGCTGTTCATGACGCTCATCTTCCTTTTCGTTGTGGTCGTTTAGTAGAGCAGGCAGAGGTTGGTTCTCACGACGGTTATCCTCGTTCCTTGTGTTCGCGGTACGGTGTCCTCCACCTTCATCTCCGTTTGTAGGATAAAAACCAAGGTGATTATCATTCTGTGCATTTCCTGCCTCTGCAATGCGAATTCGTTCACTTCCTTTGTCGACTTCTACTTGTTGTAGCATCGCTGATGGTCGTGCCGCTGCTTGAAATGTGAACTCCTCTACCTCCTCAATCACATCAGTTTCATCTGTAGCAGCTTGTGATGCTTCGGCTTCCCACGAGGAACAAAATACTCCCAGCACGTTAACGAGAAGAGCACGCGCACACGAAGTGCGTAATGCCGTCATAATCCTGATTCTCCTTATGCAACTCTGAACAAATAAAGCGAATTCTTTTTTATTTTTTTTGATAGGAGTGATTATGATGTAAGACAAGCAAGTAGTTAAATTTAGCCATTATGAAGAGTACAACTGAACAAATAAAGCGAATCTTAGTGATTATGATGTAAGTCAACGCCTACTCGCTTGAAGTAAAAATCATAAAATGTCACTTTACTCTACTTCTCTTCCGAGTAAGTACTTCAAGAATTTGCAAGGGGTTGCGTCGTCCAATTCTTGATGTACTAAAGGTAAAGCACGAAGATCAACATCACTCTGCTTAATTTATTAGATGAAGATTTTAGACGACTACGACCGATTGCTTTACTCTGATGAATCCAGAATTTCAATATCGACCGATAAGACACGCCACCAGCATGACAGAGTCAGGGTCAAGAATCACAAATGCGTGTGTGCATCTTCGATAGTAGCAACCGACCGACGCGGACGCTCGTCTCGTCCTGTCAATAAGTACAAGAACGTGATTATTCTTGATACTGAGTTCTAGTACTCTTTGACCGACGGGGATCTGGATCATGATCTTCCTGGTAATGATAATATCATGCTTACCTTATACCGAACCTGCTACTGGGTAGAAACTAACGCAACAGCAACGTTGTAGAGTAGCAAGCCTGAAGAGTCGTGGTTGCAGCTCTACTCTACTACAACATGTGGGTGAGAACGAGAAGTATCGGTATCCATCACCATCTCACTACTTAAAGGATAGTTTTCTTGTTTTCTCCCTAGTAATTTCAATGTCTCTACAAAGGTCCCGTTTTCAATTGAGTAGAAGGTCCTCCATGGGTGGCATCAACTTCAACTGGTCTCTGAGGTTGCCTTACTGTGCAAAACCAACAACCGTTTTTGTGCGTCGTGGGCGTCCACTTTGATGGAACGAAATTATATCAAATACTAAATCAGAGTATCTACTGAAACGACCGGGAACTGTGCCCAACACTTTTCAGCGGAACAAACTCATCACTTGTTCTTTAGGATAATTTGCATTTACGTATGAGGTTCTAGCGGTTACTTGCACGTTGTGAGTTAAACGAACCCTTGCACCCGACTCTACTGGTTACTTGCACGTTGTGAGTTAAACGAACCCTTGCACCCGACCAAGAACTCACTGTTCTAGACGATCCTTGTGTTGCGATTGATCTTGATTTCTAACATCTTCTCATGATTGAGCCGATAATCTTATGACATACGATTACGAACTTACTTTTTTGAAAGTTGCAGAATATAATGGATGGATTTGGATACGTGGTACTAGGTTCTAAATAAACGCAGAAATTGAAATATTAGTTCATCAACATTATAACATACAAGTCGGAACAACGGGCAAATCGCCCTCTGTCATGATAATCTATGTCACGACACGCGCCCCATACCCATGCTGTTGGTCGAATGTTAGTCCTCAACGATAAAACTTTTTGGTGGGGCGTTAGTGTCCGGAACAGAAAATCATACTTCCCTGTGTAACAGCAGCATGCGCACACAAAGGTGTAATCACAAAAATTCTTGAAAGACAATAAGCTTACCAGCTGCGACCAGCGCTCGAATTACCGTCGAGGGCTAAACTACAGACCGCAAATGAATATCTTTTGAAAATTTTCATCACAAGAGTTATTACTTATGTACTTGAAGATCAGCTGCATAACATAATGGGAAAGCCAGTCAAGAAAGGAGCGCCCTCCTCTTTAATACGTCTTTCTGAACACGTATTTTTCAATTTTGACTGTCTTTTTCCACTGCTACGACTTCTATCGAACTCATTTATTCTAGATCTAGTCACAAAGTCCCCCCATTCTTCATCTTCCACGCCGCCTCCTGTCGTGCGGTGAAGCATTCAAGAATCCAACACGAGGGGCTTATGCTGTTTATCAGTCGCCTGTAGCGCACTCCGTTACAGGGTCAGGTTTTGCCGGCACTCTTGCTGGCAAAACCGGTCCTCAGCCGGCCGGGCCGCAATCGTCGGCTTTGCTTCCCGTGTCACAAGCAAACAACCGATCCCTTGCCAGAAAGTATCGTTGTAAACGGTAGTACCAAACAAAAGCGATGCACGCGGAGAGCATCCCACACCAAGTCGTGAAGAGAACGAGACATTAGAGATAATGGAGCTGGAGTCGAGCCTTGATTTTCGATATAGATATTCCAAGAACAAGAAATGAAAAGGTAGCTAGTGTAATAAAACCGGTGGAGCAGCACGTCTAACTAGGAAACAAAAATATTTATATAAAAAGAAAGAAGCCCAACTGTATAAAAAGAACTACTATAGTGGCCACGTTTATGTTAGGATCCGTTTATTCTAGGCGCCTCGAGTTCGTCCAACTGCCCTGGAGGTCTTCTCATCAAAGGCGGCCGAAGCCTGTGCGTGCCTCACAGAAGTGCTCGGCGTCGGCTCTCGCGCTATGTGCACCCACTAGGTAGTGTAATAAACATAGATTCGCCTTTGGCTTGGTGCGTCTGAGTCTACTAGAACGAAAACCAAAATAAATCAAATAGTAGCTTCATCAACTCCCTTTAAAATTTCTTCCAGAACCAGAACTTGTAGACAACAATCAAAGAGCGCTACAACCACCTAATTCTAATGACATCAGTATGATCTGCTTGAGGTAACTACATCTTCATACTAGTAAATGGTAACTTATAAATGTATGGAAATATTAAATGTGTAATGAATGAAAATTTGATGTCTAACAAAGACGAGCGCTACTATCTAATGAATGGGAATTTGATCTTCAACACGTGGTCATAAGTCCAATAAGCGCAGGTCCGATACGTGCCAACCGATCCATCAGCATTGGTTACGCGTTCATATCGTGGCGCCATCTCGAATCCGATGACATAGCCAAGTGCTTGCGTATTCTCTACCAAGATCAAGCTTAGAGGTAGGTTTTTGGTGTTCGTGGGTTCTCCCGCTTGTTCTGGCTTTCTCATCCTAAGGGAGAGAGCCATAACAAACGGTAACAAGAAAAGTATCTTCAACCTGCCCGTAACAAGCACAAAGCCAAGGCCAAGAGGAGACAAGGACCCCGAAATCGATTCTGCTCACGTGGATTCGATACACGGCCCTGAAGATTAATTTTGGAAGATTATTAGTAGCATTATTATTTGTCGCGCGCGACCCGATCGCCTCGCATGGAAGATGAAGATGAAGATTAATTAAATCGCGGAAGATGAAGACTGCCCCCGAGCCGGGGCGCCCCGGGAGACGTTGAAGAAGGGAAGAGAGATTTTCTCAGGGGCGTGGGCTTGCGTGAATGGTTTCACAAGGTGAAACAAGCGCCCGAAGGTCGCGCACTCCCCTCCGCCTAGCGGTAGGCGGAAGCGGGACGAGGAGCAACAGGCAAGCCCTAATGTATTGTATATAGAGTATTTTAATTGTGGAAGATGAAGATGAAGACTTATCGTAGAAGATAGGGATAGACCTAGAGTATGATAGAGGTGAAAACTAACCAGTTGTTTCGACTCATCACGATTTTATCCTCCTCATTTTAAGAATTTACTCTTGCTCTATCAGAAGTTTTAGGACAGGTGTTGTATTCTTTCACTCAAGCGAGCCAATGCCAACAGACTCAACATGGGAAACGCGCAAGCAGAAGTAACACGCGCAAGCAGAAGTAAGTCGACACAGACATAGAATGACTTTTTAAATAAATTGTGGAAAAAGAAAAAGATGAAGATTAATCGTGGAAGATGGCGACGGACACGAACCTGAGGATGGTTTTCTCCAAGGGTTTTGTCCAAGGGTTTTGTCCAAGCGGCCACCTGCTCCACTTCAAATTCAGTAATAAATATGAAAAAAGTGAGTAGCAGTAGAATTAAACAGGTGAAAGATAGAAATAATTACCTTCGCCCACAGGTACTGGATCATGTTCGAATAGATTGTGATATTAAGCCCCCAGACCACAACGGAGCTTGTTCGGGTCATGTGGCGATAAGTAGCCCTATCCGGATGAATCCAATCGTGGCCGTGTCCATTCATCTCGTGGCCATGCCCAAAGCAAGGATTCGTGCAATTTCCGAAAAAATTCAGCAGGAAATTCAATCCCCCAACTTACATTAGAGCAGGAAGAAAGAATTTATGACCTGCTCCTAGTATATATGTGAAGGGACTAGGTTTTTGACTGATTAAAAAGGGCAAGGCCTCCTATGTATAAGTACAGCTTGTCAAGTTGAATGTTTCCATGTAGATAGGGGAATGTACTGTGAAATAGGGGAGATAATATAATGTAGACAACTACTCGCCGACTTAGGTACATTGAGCATGCCGATAGCGGAATGTCGTTCATCCATGTAAGTAAGTAGAACCGCCTTAAAAGAAGAACCGGCCAACATCAGCCTAGAGTGATGATGGGAAGAGTGATGAAGATGCTCCATAGCATCCCAGCATTCCCAACCACATCTTTTTCTGCCTTTCGGGCCCCCGCATGTAGTTTCACATCGTTTTCGGTGTTAGAGAAGAAAAATGTATGATAAAGATTAAATAAGTTGGCAATCTAAATGGACTAGAGGTTTGCATCGTCCACGACACTTGAACAAGATTAAATCAATAAGAGATGTCCTAGTTGGGACAACTTTGATGTGAAGAGAAACTGAAAAAAGAGCTCCTAAAACTGCGTGTCTGTTTGGTATTGGTTTCATCTTTCACAAATAACAAGTCGGTGGCTATTTAGAATTCTTGCTACAGCTTGTTCTTCTATAGTTGTGGCGGAGCCGACCTAACTAGAAAAAAGACAGACCAGAGGCAGAGGAAGATATAAAAGAGAAAAAGGTAACTATCAACAAGTATCCTAGAGTATCCTGCTAACTCCTGTTCTTCAATAGTGCCTTAATATTCGCGAGCAAGCCTTCCCGCTCCTCCCCATCGTCGTGGCCGCGCCACATGCCGCCTGACGCGGCCATGCTTTCTGTAGAGGAAACTACAAGGGGTGGCTTAACTTTGTTGTAGATGAGCAACTTGATGTAGTTGTTCTATGTCAAGTTTTATGAAATAGATCTTGTACCACAACAACTAGCAACTGTCGCGAAAGTTGATTGGAGTGAAGGACGAAGAAATTCTTGCTTGAGTGTGGAAGTAGACTCCTGTTGATTGAGAGCAGGAAGTAGACTCCTTTAGTTTAGCACCATCGAAGAGATGTTTCTCGATATATGTGGCGACTTCCTTGCGTCGACGAGAGAAAAGAATGTTCACTATGGCACCGGCATTGAAAAGAGCTCAGAGGATGAGTGTAGAGTTCACTTGACTACTAGACCGAGTTGGTCGATGGAACTATATGGATCAGAGTCCTATTTTACCGATGGAAAACGAAACGACAATACTAGATCACCGAGTAGGAGGTACTTCACCAATAGAAGATACAAACAACATACAGGTTCTTCACGTTCACCGAAAGAAGATACAGACAACGTCCTGAAAAGATCACGGAGACCGAGTTCTTGACTGATAGAAAAGCCAACATTACTAACAGATCAATGTTGAGTACTCCACCGATAGAAAAGCGAACACTGAGGGCAACAAAGTATCAGTTGGTGAATCATCAAGAAAGTCTTTCGTCGTGTTCCTCAGTTCAGTTGGGTTAGCTCGGTTACTTAAATTCTCATTTGGTTAGTACTTAGGCTAATTAGGGTAAGATGATGAACAACTTGGTGTAATACGAAATTAATCCTAGCAAGTAGGATTCATAGAGGAGACCCAAAAACTCAAAAAATCAAAATTGTGGCTGTGCCCCACACGATACCTTCAAATATGAAGGAAGGTTAGTTTATTAGGTTATTAATCCTGCACATCGAGCTCCGGAAGATCAATACTAGGTACAAATGAAACTATTTTCGATTTCGGCTATGTACTATTAGTATTCAATTGCATCATGATCATGTTGCAGCGCGAGCTGTACTAACTTCTACTGTTGATCTTCCTACTAGGAAAGTAGCATTATACTTATACTATAGATACTGGTGCAAGACAATCTAGATGGTTGGACATGTACAAGTACCTCTTTTTTCGACACTGGAAAGACAATGTACTTGGTTCTTTTTAAACAACTGGAGGAAACTGAAAACCCGAATGCTACTCGAGTCCTCAGCACTCTGACATTGTCACACCATATATAATGTAACATCGGAAGAAACGATATATAATTGCGCGTGCGCCTACATATTTCAATTCGTAGCACAAACTTCATTCATTTCTTCACAAACTTGTATCTTAGCAAGAATTTCATTTCAATGTTGGTTGGGGTTGGGGAACTGCACAATATGATATGTTGCCACGACATGGACATCCTTATCCTATGTTTTTACCAAATAAGCATCCATGTCTATCATGTCTCAATCTGACCTGTGAACGAAGCGATTGGGCCGCTTGCCTAAGATTTCCGTGATCATGTGTTGTCTTTTACTTGCGAAGAGGGGGTAGGTGCTCCGCGGCGCGCCGACAGTAACATGGTGAAAAACAGCGACACGCCTGCCACAAAGGGAACCCTAGCCCACAAAGGACAAATCGAGAAATTCAACGTCATTGCGGGAACCCAAATCTGTAGTAAGTTGTTGGTGAGACGATGTAGATGGCAGTGAGTATTTAAATGATGTAATATAATTATTCATTGACTTTAATATTGATGACATGCACATGCACGTTCTGAGAAGTCTATGTCTAGAAGGTGTACTGGTAGAAGTATCTATTTCTTTGTCTTTCTTACTCGACGAGGTAGAGTAATCATTTCATTTCAGAATTTTGAATTTTGTATGATGATCACAATGATCTTTTTTTACCTGCCAACACGTGAGGAGATCCTCCTTGTTGTAGTTTTGCGAGTAAGTTCCGACTCCAGTCCGGACAGCGCTTGCGATAAATGCCACAAGCACATCGAATCGCTCAGCAAAATTAGCGCTAGTTTTTCTCTATCCCCTGACGCGGTCGAGTGGGTATATTTCACATTTGAGATGAAAACAATCGTCCTGAACACAGGATGGAGCTTCAAGATTCAGATTCTCCACTCGGCATACATAGTCCACTCGACATACATAGGATAGCGAAAAACAACAACAAGCCTTAACAAAAGTCGCACCACCAGAGGCGTTCGCAGCAGGTAGATCCTCTTCTTCTTCCATGAATGCCTTCACGGAATAGAAAGCGGGAAAGAAGGCGAAAGGATGATGCACAAACTGATCCAAGAACACCTGCTTAGCTACGATCTTCTGTCCCGCTCGGTCTCGAAGCTTTAACGCCCAAGGCTGTGGAGATGGAAAGATGGAAAAAGATGCAAGGATCTCGAACTTTTTTAACGCGGCCCAAGGCTGGTTGTGCTTGTGGGGATCGAGAAAGGAGTGCGGGGTCGATGGTCACGACCAGTTAGAAGAGGCGACTTCATCTAGTTCCCTTTGGTTGTACTTCTTCTACCCTGCTGTACTACTACTTGTAATATCATAACTTTAACTACGATTTAATATTGAGGAAGCAAAAGATTCATGTAGTTGTAGATACAAACTTTCAAACAAACACTACCTTCGCCGCAAATGCTGCAGCTGTTGGAAAGAGACGATGTGCGAACAGGTAAACCTGGATGAAATACTGGACACCTCCTAGCCAAACCAGTCCCCACGTCGCGAATACAAGGGCTCGCGTGGTATCCAACTGCTCTCTGCCCTCTACGAATCGTTGCACCAGGTAGTCTGCGAGTGCGGTCTTGCTGCTTGCTACAAGAAGTCCCGTCATGATCGGAGAGGCGTTCCTTAGAGAACATCACGATTACAACACTACAAGAGCAGATCATTCATCAATCTAGGAAATTATAAATATATAAAGATCTTTCTGAGATGTTGAGCTGCCTTAAGGCAAAAATGCTGAGGAAATGCCACTTTGCACTTGATGAAGAGGAAGACCACTGTTCACGGTGATTCTTGTCTCCCGACGTCGAAACCTCTTCAGAAGAGAAGGACGAAGAAGGACACCATGTTTGAGCGGCTGTAACCCTTGAAAACGAAGAAGATGCAAAGGACGTTGTTGGAAACATCTTGTTGACTTGATGTACTTGATGTGCAGCTCGTGTATGTGTTGTGCCTTGAAGATGTTGATGTGCCTGTGTACTAGAAGAACGTGTCGCTGTTGGAGTACTACTACTGGCTAAGGTCGTTGCACACCTATCATGCGGCCATGGTGTTCTTGGCCACCTGCTGTTGAACAAGCAGGAGGCATGTGCAGGAGAAATAAAGCGACTACTGCTTGTAGGAGGAGAAATCCGACTACCCGTAGTTGTAGTAACACCACGCCGACTATTAGTACTTCTGCTTGTAGTACAACTGGGCGGGAAAAGGCCACAACTACTACCTGCAGGAAAAAGCTTCCCACTACTACTAGTAGTACAAGTTGTACCTATTCTCCTCGTACTAGTAGTTGTGGTATGTTGTGAAGATACGTTTTGAGCGAAATTCCTCCTACACAACGCAGCACAAGCAGTGCGATCACCGCCAAGCCCTCGCCGGACAGCTGCGCGTGGAATCACATCCATGTTCGTCTTGATGAGTTTTGACTATTCAAGTTCAGTAGCGTCGATCGAGTCAGAGTGCCATGTGCACCGACGCCTAGTAGAAGATGTCCTGAGGTCTCAGCTCTCAACAAGATGAATTATGCTCCCCCTTTACTGGTACATCTGTAGGACATGGAACAAGAACCTTCCTTGAAGCGTAGGAGATAGAGCAGAATCTACTTCAGCCACGCCGCTTTCGGTAACCGAGAAGAAGAGGCTTGTTTCCGTCGTGTGGCAAGTTAGCAGTGGATGCCGTGGGTACTAGCGAGGTGCCAGAAGTGCTATTCCTCCTGTGTGTTATGCGTCAAATGACGAGAAACGATTACCTACTTTCACTGCACGCCAACAAGGTCAAATATTGGCACGACTCGTTACCTTTACAAAAATTCAAATTATCAATACGGCCTGATTTCTCTCCAACGACCTGGTGGATGAAAAAAAACTAGTAGACCGTAATGATGCCCATCAAGTCCTCGTGCTGCTCTAGGGGAAGAACTATCAACGCCTGATGTTGATGCCCATCTAGTCCTCGTGCTGCTCTAGTGGAAGAGGAATTAAAATTATCAGCAGAATCATAAAAAAAGTATGACGCTTCAGATTCAGATTCAGATGGGGTCCTGCCTCAGCCCTGCGCATTGAGCACCGCTGTTCTGTCAACTACATATGTAAATACTTCTACACCCAAGAAGCATGCAAAAACGTGAGGAAAGATTGCATTACGGTACTATGATGTATCTTCTATGCCCATCATCAAACTTATATAACAAGAGCAACGTACTTAACGGAATACCGGCGGCCAGAAATCGTTCTACTTCTGCTTAAGGCCCTGACTAGGACTTCTAAATAGCATTTAGCCTGTCCAAAATTCCAAAATTTACGTCTATTTAAAGGAGAGTCTGTGCTGACACGTAGTACGCGTTCTGGAAAATATGTTCACGAATGAAACTCGAGAAATTCGTTCACGAATGTTGGAAGAGTGACTGTAGCTGTGGGTTCTTTTAGAAACCAAGAATATTAATTGAATTCTGGGTAGTTCGTTGAAGCAACTACAAAAACAGACGAACCGCTGCAATAAATCCTCTATATTATAGATGTTCTATCCTGGATTCCGTATGCGATATGTGCATGTAGCGTATACTAACTTTAATGGTATTGTCACGAATATCTCCTGGGAGAGGCCCATTCTTGTTCTTCTATGACCCCCAAAAGGTAAGCACATCACTCAGTGAAGACTACCCGGCAGCTAGGTGTTTGTCAGAAGATCGATGGGATGTATTATCGTTGAGAGAAGTCCGGGTTTCACAGCACCACGTTCTTACTGCAGGTCAAAGCCCAAGGGGTACATAAGTAATCAGTTCGATTTACGGCCGCTGTTCACAAAGCGGAACCGAAATCCAATTTCAAAGAGTTCTTGTAAGTAATTTGAACAGACGCAGACTTCTGACCTTTCTCTCCAGTAACTATCACTGCACGACCTTAGGTGTCAGTCAAGGTGGAATCAGCATGATCTTGTCCTTGCGATCTGGATCTTCGCAAAATAATCGATACTAGAAGTTCTCTCCACTCCACAACCGACGCCGAGATCATAATGCATCTTCCAGATACTTCATGTTTTGAATACTTACTACAAAAACACGCATCTGCATGTACATCAGCGAGGAAGACGACCGACCACAGGCAGTTTGATGCCTTGCAAGACCGAATATCGACAGACGACGCCTGCTCATTTGTTCTTCTTTTCGCTCTGATCTCTCTGATGTCACGGCACACCACGAGCTTTACAACTTCTGCCACGTAAATAGAAATAGGCTTCGAAAACTACACGGAAACCCACAACCACAACATATTTGTCCGTACTAACTGCTTGTGTAGCATTCTGTTCTAGTGCAATGAACTTGCTACCCTTCTCCTTCTCGTTCTTGACACATATAAAGTTTAACAACAACAATGCACACATAAGTGAATCTTGTAGTAGTTGAGGTAGATGATAAGGAAGAGTAATTACAGCACCACAACAACTGTCAATCTTAAAAGTACTTCTCTACAGACAGCTCCCTACCTTCACCCCCACCAGGATAGGGCAGATGCGCAGATGGATCAAGAACTCAACTGCCTAGCACCACGTCGTTGCTTGGAAGATTCAGAAGTCGAAAAACATACTACAATTATCTACTCGACGTTGTAGGCCTAGGTGTAAACGCAAAGGCCTTACTTAGAACACGACTAAAAATCTTCATACTACAAGAAAGAAACAGTATATTGTTATTTGAGTCTTTTTCGTCCTCATCGTCTTCAACTCTTAATGGACTCTATAATCTATGATCAAGTCGTGAACGTGAAGATCACTTTCTTGTTACAGCTGATGTAAACATCGTGATCTTCAGCGTTGTAAGATATCAAGGTCAAACAAAAACAAGTAGGTCAACAACATTTGTAGTTCTTTCTAATCAAGATCAACAAGACAAAGAACAGGTAGTAATAGCATGCTCAACTTGAAGCAACGAGATCTACTCTAGACACCCTAAAAGCTACAACATCACAGGTAGATTCAACCATGAATGATGGCAAAGCACAGGTAGGAAATACAACTACAACAACTTCTACTTGCACTTCCAATTCTAATAACTGCTGCGTTCCACCCCAACTAATACTGCAAATGCAATGGCGTTGATGAAGTTTTAGATGCAGACTTCTAACAGTAAGAGTGAGTCGTCGCATTCTAGTTGTATAGCTTGTAGTTTTAATATCTGCTCATCTATTTTTAGAACTATTTAATAACAGTCTGCACTACAACTTGAGGTAACATAGTAAACTTTAACTTAAATAGGAAAATTACAACTATTGTGAATAACATAAAATATCTTCATCTAAAGAAGTGGTGCAGGAGATCATGGTTAGATGCTGATGATGATCGCCACACCTACGCGCCAGGGCGATCTTTCGGCCACTTGCACGGATGCAGTGGTATGATGACTCGAATCTACTCGGCAATCTGCCTAAGATTTCCCTGACAGTAGATGCAGAAGTAGTATAATTTTGAACTACAATTTTTTTCTTTCATCTATGATTTGGATTTCTAAACCAACGGCTCAACATCGGTTGCTTCCTCTCGCTCACTACAACAACGATGCGACTCGCACTGTAATGTTAATGATGATAACTACAATCTTCCTCATGGGCATGTTTGTTATGTACTTCAGGCCTAACCCTGACCCTCCCTGGTCAAGTTTATTGAAGCAAAACTTACACAGAACTACATCTAGTCTACGGTAGCGCTATGTCTTCAGAAGTCTTTCAACGCCATGTCAGTTTTTCGGAGTAATCATGCCACTTCGCTGTCTTTGAATGCCGCGGCTTCGATCCAAAAGATACTCGTCATCGTCATCTTAGCGCTAGTCAATCCGAATCTGTAGTCCTCCGCTGGTTGAGTGTATTCTTACCCTCTTCCTCAGCAGCAGTGATTTTGTTCCCCTCTAAATCCATATCCAGGGGAGCTCCTATCACATCACTTAGCACCATACGGACTAATTACATCATCCAGGCATGCATAGTTCCCAAACATGAGATAGTTGTGAAAAGGGAGCCTTAATCATCATCATCTGAACCCTCGCAGTCGAACCCCACGTTTATCAGATCTGGATCAAGTCTGACGCTTTTTTCTAGGTGCTCGGTTTTGAAAGGTTAGAGGAGCCGTGCTGAGGGGAAGACCAGAGGAGGGGTGAACGTGAGGAGGGGTGAACGTGAGACGAACTTGCTTCTTCGGCGACGTATATAAAACTACTGCATCTCGGAGGACGGCTCTACTACTATGTAGTTCATGTTCATCTGAATTGCAATTTGAGGCGCAATTTGAATCAACAATGGACATTCATCATGGCCATGAAGCTGTGCTTCCGAATATCATTATGGCCATCGAGATGGTAAAACTCACGCCGGTTGTACTATCTTCTACTACAGGAGGTGATGATCTGGAATCCACCAGTAGTTTCTTCGGTGCTGTCGACAAGTGAAATCAACATAAAAGTAATCAAGCGTGCGGGTATGTCTCCACTCGAGTCGCTGAAAATGCTGCTGTAGTCGCTCTGCATTCGTTGCGTTATCTGTGTCGAAAATTAGAGCTCCTGCCACTAATTATTCACCCCAATGGGCGGCGTCGTGGGGACGCCTGTCCTCCTTGTTCAAGAATCATGGCCACATAGAATTATGTACTTAGTTAAATCCTTAATAATAGTTATCAGAGAAGATGATCATCCCTCAACATTCTTCTCATTCTTATAAGTAGATGAATGCTAATATCCATTTCAAGTTGTGATGAAGTCAAAGTCATCAAGTGTAGATGACAGCTAAACAAGATTGACACCGTATCGCCTTTTGAAGAATCCGCATTCCTAGAGATTAGGATGACAGAGGACTAGAGCTAGACACGAAGAATAGGCTAATCAAATGAAGGAGAGGGTAGTGAGCCATAAAAAACTACGCTGTCTCAAAACGAATGACTTCAGAGTTTTCGGTGATGAGTGTACTCTCTGGACGGTGTTCATCGCGCCGGAGCCTGTATTGAGGAAGTAGTTAGACGAAGTTTTATTAGGCTTGTTAGCGGGCGTGATGATGTTCCTTAGTCGGCTCGACTTTGGCCTACGACGTCCCTGAATCTTTTCAGAGTTCTACGGGTTTCGCTGAGATAATTGTTCTAGCCTTAATAGACGGTGGCGATGAAGCTATGTTCACCTCACCTGCTAGTTCCCTATTCGGCGACCCCCTATAATTATCCATGTTCAACGCAACTTCCTGGCTCGTACTAGCATCGGTGATTTCTTAGAAGATGGAACTTCGATTCCAAGTGTGTTCTTGACGTTTGAAATATTGAAATTCTAGAGCTAGAAGACAACTCAACCACGCAGATCCTTCTAAATGTCAAAAATAGCAAATACTAGCTGCAGTTCGGCGAAAGGATACTACTAAATTAGAGTCTGCGAGATTGCATCTCGGCCCCCTCATCTTGGCCGCTTTTACCTTGTACTTATTTCACGAGAATACAAGGGAAAAGGGTACACTAAATGTTGCCGAGAATGATGGACACTAAATGTTGACCATTTAATTAAAGATTTCTGGATTTAGTAGATCCCAGCCGTACGTGTTGTCTTCTCTTTGTTGATTTACGCTGCTTCTCCGGCTTAGGACTCCGCTGACCCGTGATGCCGGAACTGTGTTGTCAGCAGCTCCTGAAATCAAGGCTTGTGCGAGCGTCACCGCGTCCTGAGTCGTAAGCAACAGGCTAGGATTCGGAATCAGAGGCATCAACAATCGCTCCAGCTTAGCTCGTATCGAATCCCGCGCACCGCAGACAATCATCAACGCTTAGAGTTGATGACGATGATGATGATGATGATGAAGGTTGTACCTATAGCCATTCTCTGCGATTCTTGTGGATGGTCTTGATCTATTCGCCATGTTGAAAACAGTAGAAATTAATTTGTCATCCGTAGAGAAGTAGAGGTGTTTGTTGTTTGTATACTAGATGGAGATCATGATCTTCAAGCTCATGAGATCATGTTCATCTCTGGGGTGGTCAACATTCTCTACTAGTTGTATTCCTTTTAAAGCGTTCTCGAACTAGAACTGAAACTAAATATGGACGAGTGCTGAAGGCAAATTTATTGAAGTAGAAATAGTTAATTAGAAAGATTAATTAGAAAGATTTATAAGCGATCTGCTACTCATGCCTTAACATTTATGTCGTTGTCGCCAACCACCTGCCATCTCTTCCAGAATGGCGATGGCACTGAAATCGCATAACGAAACATTCCCCATGTCAAGAACCAGAGCCTCCAACTCCATGCCGCCATCTTCATGCCCCATGCCGCCAGCGTTTTCTGATGTTGAGAGGTGCATTAGACATCAACTCAACCTTTTCCAGAAAAGCTCTTACTGTCAGTCTCTCGACGAGGCGTGATCGGCGTTGTATACTCACGAGATGAGTAAGGTACGGGTAAAACAAAAAGAGCAGCTTCATACTATGTATGTATGTAGGTTTCGAAGTAGTCCATTATAGTCCCTGATCAAGAAACAGCGAGGAAAAGGAGCAAAAAGTACTAACTGCTTTCGTGACCAGTTCGAACAGCGTGTCTGCGTTGGAGAAGGAGAGGTTTCCTTCGAGCCTGAGCACCAGAATTTTCGGTATTGTCTTCGCGGTAGGCCATGTGTCTTTCGTGCGCCACATGTTTGATTTGGGCATCTTGCCCAGTTCCCTCACCTTCAGCTTGGTAGAATCGTGGATCAGCAGCATAATTTAGAACTGTCACGAAAGAAGTGCTCCACCATCTTTTCCCTCAACATCTGCGAAACTACACGGTTTTGTTTCTTCTTGAAAACTTTGATCCCGACTTTACCCAAGCACCTCTACAGGATTTTCTCCTTCAAAACGGCCAACAGATGAACTCGTCAACAAGAAAGATGGATTAATAAGTGCGGCCTTAAATAATGGAGAGAAGTCCCGGAATCAGGATACCTTGGCAGCAACCGACTAAAAGCGTACCGAAGAAACCACTCATGTGGATCCACCAACCGCGTCTCTTCACCAAAGTGTCCTCCATGTTCCACAGGTACCGAACGATATTGAAATCAAACAAGCCGTAGGCGCCAGATATGATGATCGCGGACATCGTACTCTGCGGAATGTAGTAGAACAGAGGAGTAAACAACAAGGATTAGAGGTACTTAGGTTCTTGTTGGTGTTCGTTTATCCACCCGCTTGTTATGGCTGTCCCCACCTAAGGGAGAGAGCCATAAGAAACGGTAACGAAAGCACCTTTAACCTACCCTTAAAATGAGAGAAGCACGACGACGACAGCGACGATGATGTTGCTCCCCCACACTGTCTGGACGCCTGCGTCATACCCCACTGCCATCCTTGAGAGACCCACCTGTACAGGTACAGCGCCAAAACATGACCCGACTAGATTCGCGAGACCAAGCGCAGACAGCTCTTTGGATGCATCGATCTGATACCCTCCGTCCTTGAGTGCGAACAAGGGTTAGAGCCAATATTTAGCAGAGATTTTTACTGGATCGCCTTTAGGTGCTAATAGCGGTATGCATGACCATCATGATTCGGTTAAGGTTCTTTAGGCTGCTTAGGCTTAGCTCAGAAGTAGTACTACTACTGGTACTTCTTCTACTTACTCTTGTTGTGTTTATGACTAAGACTGTAGGCCATATTTTTTTGCTCCAGCGTATGAGCTGAGGAAGACTATGAATCCAACAATGACGCTGCCGGGCAAGAGAGCGCGCCACAGTGAAGACATTTGCATCTTCGATGTGATCGACCCACCTGCAAGTGCGACGCAAGAATCCAGAAACGCTTTCCTAGCTGCGTAATTTTTTGATGCTGGAGCTACTGCGTCTGCTGATGGTGAGACAAGGCTCTGCTGCATCAGCTTACTCACAACGAAGGCAGGCAATTTCTCAGGTGGTACCTGCGGATCGACGATGCTGGCAAGTAGTGCCTGACAGTCTGTTGGCAATTCCTGTAGTTCTTGTTGCTCAAGGCCTACAACATGCATCTGAGACGTCGACGAGAGTAGATTTGATATGCTCGGAGGCGTCCAAACATCTGCTTGCTCAACGGGGGATGGTGGCAACACGAATTGCGGAAAACCACCCTGCAACTTTCCCACGTTGTTGAGGAAAATGCCATATTTCGTTGTCAGCACATAACACGCAACGAAGGCGAGAAAGACCACCACTAGATCTTTGAGCTTTATCGATAGTTTCACTAGCTCTCGCATGGAGAAAGAAGAGTCCGTCTCTGGCAATTCCTTCAGTTAGGGGTTGAAAGTTGGGTCGCATATCTCTGGCTCGCATATCTCTGGCTTTCCTACTTGAAGAAGCCATAAAGATGCCCCGCTTAGATGATAGGTCAACTTCCAACCCTTAATTCAACCACTTTGACTTCCCGACGCTCTTCATGCCGAAAAGGAAAAACAACTGCAGCAAGCCGGGGATTAGACTCGTCTCGAAACGAGAAGATCTAGATCATGCGTCTAACTGTAAAAGAGATCTACTTCTAGGTTGGAGACGAGGACTCACGGCATGATCTAGATTTCTAAAAGAGCATCATAACAACATCCCAATCGCGTAGTTAACGAATTCCCCATTGCTGATTTGCGAAAAAAGTCTGTAGACCTTCATCGGAAAATCCTTGGGTACGACGGTTTCGTGTTTGAGACCAATGACATCCCGAACTTGGCTCTCAATGATCAGAACCGCAGATGCGTTGACAAATCCGCTTAAGGCAGCTCGACTCAGGAACTTGACCAGTGCCTGGAGCATCAGCAGTCGCATCAGGATAAGCATCAGTTAGAGGTGAATACTCACTAGTCGCATCAGGATAAGCATCAGTTAGAGGTGAATACTCGACGCTAGTCGCATCAGGATATTAAGCATCAGTTAGAGGTGAGTACTCACTATCCCCATCCCTGCTTGAGAGAGTTGAGGTGAATACTCACTAGCCGCATCAGGATAAGCATCAGTTAGAGGTGAATACTCACTATTCCTGCTTGAGAGAGTTGCTTTCTACTTACCCCACGCTTTGGTGCCCTTTAAATCAAGGGGATCGCATTCACTGAGGATAGTTGTATCTGACACGACCAGATGGTGAGTGTCTAGAAGCCTTAAATCAACCCTATCATTGCAGACATGGTGACGACCTGTTCTGCCACTGAGTGCTCCTCGACCGGTACACCACTGTCGTGGATGAATTGACCGGTAAGAAGTGCCACCAATCCACCCGTCCCCACACTGCTTTCTATGAAAGAAAAAACTCATCAAAGGAGGTCTAATCTAAGCCAGTCCCCCCGACACTGCTTTCTATGAAAGTGGGATCTACAACTCTGAAGAGACAACTCCGACCACACTTCTTTGGAATTGGGTGAAACTTAAACTATTAGAGCTACCCCTGCGCTAGAAAAATGATCAAAACGAGCACACAATTATGGAGGAAGAGCGAGGGAGATACAGGAAGTAACTAGCGAGGGAAGTAGAGAGGTGCAAGTTGTAGCGCAGCCGATTTTGTGTGATTAATCACCTATAAATATCCGTTAGATAATTAGACGCATATAAGACAGGCCTGTTCTGTTCTGTGCACCCTTGATAGACATATAGCATCTACCTACAGGATGAATCGATGTGACAAGCTTCCACAGAAGAGTAGAACTTGTAAGCCAACGAGAGAAAAATGGATCAAACAATCGATATTATAGAATAACCGAGATACTGAACAAGGAAGTCAGCACCTTTAGAAGCTACTTACCTCCCTTATTTCAGTCAGCAACTCGGTTATAATTTTCAGTTTTCGAGTACTCCGGTTTGTAGCTTCATCCAACCATATCATGTCGACTCGTTCCAAATATGGCATACAAAACCGGTGGCAACATGCACGCGTAGGGGCCATGGATTAGGCCTTTTCCATGCAAACCGCACAAGTTAGCGTGCGCAACGGACTGCGCCATCAGTATCAAGCCTAAGACGGTTCCACCTATAAAATCGCCTCTGCCTGGCAGCTCTACACCTTGGAATAAGGAAGCGAAAGCGCTTGTTCCAACCTTGTCGGAGGTGCCGGCAGCACTGTTCTCATTGTCTTTGATGTCCGTTGATGCTCTTGTCACAGATTAGAAGATGAATACTCGTGGTGGTGCTCGTTCTGTATTACAACTAGTACAGCTGATGCTAGAAGATCAACATTGACATTGAGATCTTCGATCATGTTTCTGAAACTACCAAAAATCAATTTCAATACACTACCAAATTAACTTTGAACTAGCACAGCCAGATGAGTCCATCTGTCATAATCTCTATCCATCTCTTTTTCTTCGACTACTTGTTCGAGCAAGGGTTGTCGCAAGCACCTCGCGAAGCTTGGGCTTGCGCGAATATTCGCAATCTTCTCGCTCGTCATTGAGTCCATCAACTGGCTCATCTTATTCCGAGTGGCGTCTGAGAAGACTCGAGTTAGAGCGATCACCCGAAAAGGCTAGACTTAATAGAGGGAGCTAGTCTTCTTGTACCCGAAGTTTTGCTTTTTTTTACATCTTCAAGTGGTAGCTGTGTGTGTGCTCAACATCTACAAGAAGATCTCCTTTTTTTAGTAGATGAAGTCCCTGCTCATGTTACATCCAGTTCCTTGTTTTTCTGACAACAAGAAGGTCCCACGGCCTTAATATACTTTTACTCCGGCAGCTCGTGGTCGCAAGTTTTTTTACTGAGACCCCACCAGAAGTGCCGGCTACCGCCTGTGGTGGCTGCACGTAGAGCCCATCCGGACCGATTTGATTGCTATACGCCGCAAACGCAGTCGGAGGTGGCTGTAGATACGTTCCCGATTGTTCGCCTTCGGCCATGTAATATCCCCTAGAAGGAGGTCCTTGCTGCCAGGTTCTACGAAAATCATCGTCGTCCCCAGAATTGCCACCGCCGTTCGCGGCTTCCCCTCCTGTGGGCGCGTCCGGTGGCGCCTGTCCCATTGTATTGAGAATGACCTGGTGCTGGCAATACTACTAGTAACAGTTACTCAACTCATTCATCGTCGTCCGCAAATCCTAATCTTGCAACTTTTCTACCCTTGTTCTCGGAGGCAAATCCTAAGATGAACTTTGTTCTTTCGTACCCTGGATAAAATTTCTCAAGAACCAGCTTCTCTCTGTAGAGCAAAAAAAAATGAACCAGAAGGAGGTAGCCTCTAACACAGTCACAGCACCAGGAGGAGGGGACCTCTACGTAGTAGAAGAAGTTCTGTCGTATGCGTATCTTCATCGACAACTTGGGTTCCTGACAAGTAGGAGCTTTCCTTAAATTGTATACAACAAGAATACAACGTAGCTGCTTGAACGAACGATGCTGTAGCTTGTCCTGCTGTACATGATGTTTTATACAAGGAAGGAACTTGGTGTATCTGAAAAGTGTCTAAAAGCTCGCAAAATTCTCATCTACAAGGACGTCGAGTTTACTACTCCTTGTTACTTGTTGTACGAAAATTGACAGACATCTCAATTGGTAGTTCTTTTTGGTCAGCATGATCCTCCTGCGAATTGTTAGTTCACGATATTCTGTTCATCTTCATGCAACATCCTCGCTACCTTACATCTTCGTCGAACGACCTATCCAGCTACAACACCCACCTTTCATCGCATCTTCTACATCCTAAGAAGTTAAATAGTTATGGAAGACCTGGAAGTCCTAAGTAGTTAAATAGTTATGGAAGACCACCTGGAAGACTTCATCGCATTCCTAAGTAGTTAAATAGTTATGGAAGACCACCTGGAAGACCACCTGCTCAGCGTGTGTCTGCCGTTGCCCCATGACTATGACATGCATCCGCAATCAATCGCTGCCACTCTCTCGCCTCTGCACCAGTTCCAAAGCGAAGTTAGAACCTTTGGTAACTCTTCTATGGGACTACAGGAGCTCCAACGAACTCTAAGATGCGGCCTCTCAAGTGGGAAAGTAGGGCGTTCTAAGCCATAACGAAAAAAAGTGCTTTCTAGCAGTTGCAAAGCGTTTTTATTCTGCCAATCCCACGCGCACTTCGTGTCTGGAGATAGCGTTGTGTGGAACAGAGGAGGACTCCGCAAATCTCCAAAGATGTTAGAAGTGAGTGGCTCCGGTATTTGGTAACCTGAATTTGATCAGAAGGGTTCCCTTCTTGTTTTCCCTTATGATCAAATTCAGGTTACCAAATACCGGAAGCGTCCAAGAAGACGACGAGCACCTGTGATCATCAACAGAGTATATTGTATCGCCGACACTGTCCTGTGTGTGACAAAGATTTTTTAAGGCAAGAGAACAATAATGGAGTAGGAAATAGATTGTAGGTTATTTAACTTCACTTACTTCGCAGTTAGATAAGCTAATCGAACGCCTCGTAGTCGTAGTTAGTAAAAAAAACGAAATGTAAATGACGTCCACCATAAAAATAGCAATTTCGAAAGAAGCATCTTCTTCAGAATCCGCAGCGCAACTGTCAGGCGATGTCGTACACTTCGCTTTTTTCTCCGGAGAAGCACCGTCTTTCAGATGAAGAACTTCTTCGAAATTACTGTGTTGAAGTCGAGATACCATGAGGTTCTGAGTAGACCGACTGGTGACCGGTGTGGTAGGCGTCTCAGTAGTACTAGAATAGTTTGGTTGTGTACTAGAAGCCACGGTTATATGATCATCCTGCATTGTTCTTGATGGGCTTCCACATTTCTGCGCGTCTTTGCGACAGTGTTGCTCGATCGCCGCATGTAAACTTCTTCGAACTAGTGCCAAACAGATACTGCTGACAGGATCTTCTTGCTCTACTTCGTGGTCAGGAGTCTCCTTCTCGATCTCGTCTACTCCGTGGTCATCGCTACTTACTTCATTCGTGGCACTTCTTACTTCAACGGTAGATGTATAATCTGCAATCGCAAATGTTGAACTTGAAGAATGTTCCACTTGAATCGCAAATGTTGCATCCTTTGCTGAAGATGCGTGAAGGTCCATTCCAGCTTCAAATTGCTTTCCTGCTAGGTTTTTATCCTTCACTAGCCCTCGACGACGCAGAACAAGGAGACGCCGTTTCCACACCACGTCGACGTGGTCTTGTTCTTGGTGAGTGCTGTTTCTGTTTGACCCTGCTGTTGGACAAAAAACGTGGACATAGGTAGCAAACCGAATGCCTCCAAGAGTACTATCATGCTTCTGCAGCAGACTTCCTGGTAACACGAGAGCACCCCTGCAGGTGGCAGAGGAAGTACCAAGGAACAAAATCCTCTGAGACGATGACGAACTTTCAAAAAAAACCTCTGAGAAGAGTTTGATTTGAGGACAGGTTTTCACTAGTATCTCGTATTGGTCCTCGCTCGTCCAACGCATTTCTTTTAGATCTAGTATCTTGCTCGCGGATACCCGAGCGTCCTGCAGGAAGATTCTATGGAGGTTTTGGAATAGTGTACCCTGAGTCCTGCGGGTCGACCCTTTTTCAACTGGTGCTCCTACTTGCACAAGGAAAGTTTGTAGTTGCTCCTGTAGAGGAGCTCGCTCAGCACTTGTTCTTGTTGCTGAAAACTCGCATGCGTGGCCAGCTCCCAGCAGAATTGCAGTACCAGCAGCGAGTTCGACGCAAGTAATTTTGCGAACCTGTCCTTTAGCGAGCGAATAACTGTGGAAAAGTTGCGGAGGTTCTTTACTCGAAAAATTTGAAGAAGGCACGGCGCGCAAGAGAACGAGTCGCTCGTATGTTGCTAAAACATAGACATCTTGCTCCACCTCGCAATGCCTGGAGCTTGTTTTTGAACGAGCAGGCTCCTCAACATCCTGAAACAATATCCGTCCCCGCAGGATGACATACTCAGCAACCAACTCCAGCTTGCTTACCCGAGCAGCGCGTAACACGCGTTGCAATTCTTGTTCGTCGTCGTCGGAGGCACTTGTTCTTCCTTTCTTGACACTCGTCTTCGACGGTAACACTGAAGTAGAAAGCCCTGCTGTACTTCTAGCTGTAGTACCACTCTGCTCCTCCACACTGCTCTCGACGCTCATTTTCTTCTGCCTCCCTCGTGAAAGAAAAGACACCCCTCTTGCCAGGCTCTTCGACCAAAAAGAACCACGACTTTCTGGAGTTGCGAGAGTTCTTGACTGTAGTTCGATGTGTGTTTCATCATGCTGGTGCTCGCCTACATGATCATTTATTTCATCGTCTCTCGTACTCTCGTCATCCTCTGATGTACTAGATGACGCCACCTTCAATGCTTGATGAAATTGCACAAAGCGATATTAGAGCTGTCCGTAGTTCATCTTTCAAGTGCATCCTTGAAAAGTATGGGAGAGTATTCCCTTAGGATACTCCTCCATACGTAGTTCCAAGGATACGTCCAAAGATGTATTAGGTACAGCCTTAACGATACTGGTCTGCCTCCTGTGTTCGACGTGCGTCTGCTTCTTGTTCTTTGTTCGACCACGTGAAGATGAACAGCAGTTCCGGATACAGGTCTTCGATCAGTTTCTCGAACTTCTTGATGGATTGTCTTTGACCGGATAGGATCGATATCCACAGGTGGCGGAGATGAAAGTTTCTGAGACAAAGCGGTCGCTGCAAATAGTCTGCGACGAACTCAAACTGCTGCATCGCGACTGCAATCAGAAAAGGATGATGCTGGTTGTCGTCATGATAGAGATGCTCCTGCAGCTCATCTTGTTTGTCCTCCAGCACTGAAGTATTTTCTTCATCATGGTCAGGCAACATTTGTTGACCTTCAACCGCATTACCATTATCCTCTTCAGTTGTATTTAGCGGCTGAGAGTTGACCGGTCTAGCTTGCATATCGATCCTTTTCCCCCTTGAAAGCGGTATAGCTATGCTCATAGAGAGGCCAACTTCCAACCCTTAACATATCTCCCCACCATCGATGACCCTGCGCGGCATAGACTTGCAGTGGCGTCCAGCCGTGTGGGAAATAGGCACTTTGAGTGGCAAGCGAAGCTTCGACATCAGCCCATTCAGAACGGATTTGGGTCAACTGATCATGTGACTCCTCCTCATGATGAGAGACGTTATGGTTAAGAGTTGTGGGCGTCGCAACATGATGCTCGAGAGCCGTGGCCTCGACGTCTGAAGAGCGCACACCAGGCGAAACAACATCGTGCAACTTACTTAGGATGTCATCATCGAAGCTTTCGTGGTCTTCATTCTTCTTGTCCATATCCTCTTCATCCATAAGTGAAGTTTTTTGCTTGTTGGTCATCTCCTTGAAGATGTTCTCATTTTCGCTGCGCTCCATATCAAATTGCTCCTCTGATGTTGGCGGCTCCGAGTGAGCATCCTCCATATGATCTCCATGATCTCTAGTCCTACCACTTGTGGGAAATAATTGGTTCTGTACCGCCTGTTGTTGTTGTCCTCTCATCTTCTTCTTGTCCAAATGGAGATGAATCCTTGTTCCCGTAACCCGATCCTCGTTGGTCGAGAACCCTATGCCTATCATGTCGTCACCTCCGTAGTTGTGAACATCTTCAAACGTCGGTCGTTGATCTTCATCAGGCGCATATAGGTCCTCATCCTCTGTCGCCTCCGCAGTGGTCCCACCAGAGGTCCCGTCAGCAGCTCCTAGAACTTGCTGAAGAACTTTTGGCACCACAGCTGCCCACAATGCACTGCTAAATGTGTTCCGCGTCTGTACTACGGTCACGGTGCTCATCTCCTTGCTCGTGTTCAACATTGTCTCGTGGCGATCTTCATGATTTATTTCCGGTGATGATGCAGCTGCAGGTCGATTCGAGTGTGACCGAAGACTTAATAATACCGGAGTCTCCTCTCCGCGTTCTTCTACTTCCTCTTCTATTAGCTCATCTCTGCCTCTGTTCTTGACCCTAGCGTCATCGTCTCCTCGTTGAGTTGTCATGAGACCATAATGAGCAGCAGGTGCTGTTGTGTCATCTTTTCTAGTTGTTGATGATGATGTTGCACTTGCACTACTTCTTCTAACTACATCACCAGCCCCAACGTCTTGAGCTTCTTCATTTAGAACTAATGGAAATCCATCCTCAGCAGCATCTTGGGTCTCCTTGTCCCTTTAAAAACGGGACCAAGATGCCTCTGAAAATGGGAGATTTCTTGTACCCTTAATTCATCTCCTTGCTGTTGTTTGAGACAAGGAAAAGTTTGATGAACAATGTCGTCATCATCCTCGACTCCTGTGGAGGACAGCAGAGCATTTTCCAAGTCTACCGGGTCAAACACTTTCACCTGCGGCAAGCTGTCTATGCCCTCCTCGTCCTGCTCTGCTTCTACTACTTCATCTACTACTGAGGTGTTCTTGTTGACGCCGGACGAACGGCAGTGGTTGGCATCGATTTCTTCATTTTTCTCATCCTCTCGCGCTGGCCTTTCTTCCATATTAGAGGCTGCGGCATTGCATTCTTCAGATCAACATCCCTGACCCTTCTCCTAGTACTGGAAAAAACGCCAAGGATGCAATGTGGTAACCCTTATAACTATCCTCCAGTCACATGTAAAGAATGCCATGTGGTAACCCTTATAACTATCCTCCTCCAGTCACATGTGATCCAGTAAATGTGGCGCGTCTGTATGAAGAATGCAATGTGGTAGCCCTTAACTATAGTTGGTCTTGGTGTTCTTGACGAACGTAGCGTATCGGAGGACTCCTGCAGAGGATCTTCGACTTGTTTTTCTGGACTGGCTGAAGAAGACGCAGATCTTGTTCTTCTATTGCGGTGGACAACGTGGTCGACGGCGGGTTCGAACATCAGCTGCCACATAGATTTGAACAATGCAGGGCGTCCTCCGCTGCCTCCACTTACAGCTGAGGAGGGTGTTGTTCTCGTCGTACTCGCTGTGCTTCGCGACTCGGCAGTTGAATCACACGCCGCGGCTGGCGCCGGTGTTGGTTTCTGGTGTAGCTGTAGTTCTTCTTGTTTGTCCACGTCAGGCGTCTTGCTAACATTACTACTCCGACTTCTCGACGATTTTTCTTCTGTTGAGGGAACAGAAGACGGGTCTTCGAAGTTTTCCAACATCAGTATTTCTCCATTTCTTGCCTTGATGATATCATTTCCAACTGGTGTAGCTTCGTGCGCACTCCCTTTCTCGCTCTCTCCTTCAACATCAACTGCCTGTGGTGGCAACGCTACACTTTTTTTACTAGCTGCTAACGCTGTTTGTGATACGTCTCCTCCCCGCACACTTTGCTCCACAGCCGCCTCTGCTCGCGCAGCGGCCTCTTCAATGGTAAGAGCCTTGTTACTGCGCAATTTTCTCAGAAGCTTTCCATCTTAGAGCTTGCTTACTTCGCGGGGGGGTCATGGAACGAAGGGGGTCGCCGCGTCGCTTTGAGAATCCACCTTGATAGCGCCGACCCCTTCCAAGTTCCCCCATCAAGATCATAGCCTTAATCATCAGCAGCATCCTGAGCCAAGTATTCCTCGTCATTGCAGTCAAGTTGGGACTTCTTCAAGAACCGTTTCGTGATTTGGAGTGCTTCACTCTCTCCACCTGCATCTCGGTATCGGGAAGTCTCCTCGCTTTGAGGTGCCTCACTAATATCTCGTTCGGAAGTCTCCTCATCATTCTTGTCTTTGGCAGTCCTCTCCATGTCTTTGGCAGTCCCACCACCACCTGCCTCTTCGCCAGCAAGGCTCGGTGAAGGAGGACAAGACCCTTGCTGTTGCCTCTTCTGTGGTTCTTTGGGTTTCTTCTCCTTGCTAGAAGATGTTGGGGCTCCTGCTGTTGTTGCAACATTTGGCAACTGTAGTTCTGTTTCTGCAGTGGTCTGTTGGATCATATTGTTACCGCTTTTGTCGTCCGAATTGGAAGCTACTGCTGCAACTTCGTCGTCCTGATTCTTTCCCTCTTCGTCCGCCTCCTCTTCTCCCACTAGACCGAAAAGCTTCCGATTTTCCCGCACCAGTTCTAAAGCCAGCTTGTCGTGTACGCGCACACCCAAGGCGCTCAGATTCAGGTGCGTAAACACCGCACCTGGCAACATGTCTTCACGAGCAAGATGAGGTTTTGGTCCACCTGCGGCTTCGATGTTGGTTTCAATCATGAACTTGAGGCACCGCATCACATCCCCTGCCAAATCGTGAAGGAAGCTTCCTTGTCGTGCCAGCTCCGCATCCACTGAGGCGATTCTTATTAGAGCTAGGGGAACAACGCTCTATACTACTATTAGAGCTAGGCGGTGCTTCTTTGAAGATGTTTTTGATCATGACGTCTTCGTCCATATGATCCATGTTCATGTTATTGCTTGTACACCAATAACTCATAATTTTTGTGCATACTTCTCCCCCCTCTCTGCATCCTTCACGGCGAGTCGATCTTTTGCAGATCTGAGTTTTTCTCGCTCGACTTCAACGTCAGCAGAAGCTCGCTCACTCACAAGCAGAAGCTTCGCGTCAAGCTCTTCGCGCAAGGCTTTTTCTTCCAGCTGGAAGCGCTCGTCGTTCTCCGCCTTAACGCGCAAGGCTGCCTCCAGTTGGGCTTTGCACACTTCTTCCGATTCAGCAACAGCCTTATCCCGCTTTCGTTCTGCCTCACGTTAGAGTCTGCTAGCTTGCATCTTCTCTCGACCCCCTCATCTTGGAGGCCGCCCCTTTTACCTTGTATTTCATGAGAATACAAGGGAAAACGGTACCGAGATGCCGAGAAAGATGGACACTAAATGTTGACCTTAATCACGGACTGTAGCAATCATGGCCTCTTCAGCGTGCCTTATTTGTGTCGCAGTGCGAACTTCCTGGTCCCCCAGCTCCACCTGGTGCTCTTCGATTAGTTCCGCTCGTTCGCGCGCCGCACGATGTTCGCACGCACGCAATTCCCGGTCCATCTCGCGCCACAGCCTCTCTTTAGAAGTCGGTACTCAGTACTCACCCGCCCGATCTATTTCTATCTTTTCATGGGATCATTCATATATTTGGACCAAGGAACAACTGTCTATAATATTTTCCCTTTGATGTGCGACGTGGGACAGCTCCAAGCCTAGGATGCTTCAGAAGATAATGGGGAGAAGCCTTAAGCTGTGTTATGTCTGCTTCCAACATAGGCAGACGCTCCACGGACCACTGTATTTCGAGAATTGCTTCTTTTTCAAGAAAATTTTTTTCCAAAGCATCCAATTTTTCAGCATGCTTCGCATTCGCAGCAGCCAGTTGAGCGTCCAGGATAGTCCGTGCAAAGGCTTCATCAGAAGTAGTCCCGTCAAAAAGCCTACAACCAGGACCATCTTCAGTATCAACAACACCAGAGCAGACTGACACATCCTGCTCTCCTGCTCCTCTACCACTAGCTGTTTCCCTGGTCCTCGTAGTTGGGACGACTCCATCCACGACCCCAGCTTCATTTTCATCGTCGACATCCGCTGCTCCTGTTCTTGTTGCTTCATCCACAACATTCGCGCCTCTTCCTTTTGGCGTGGTTGCGTCTCTAGCAGCTTGTCCACCTGTTCTCGTGGTGGACGCAGGTGCTACCGTCACAATGCGGGTAGTGAAACCTGCTTCGCGAAAGCGTTCGCGAAATCGGTCACTAACTCCCCTGTCCTCCAGTTCAAGAAAGCCTCTATCGGGAAGTTTCTCTTTCATTAACCTCAAAATTTGCTGCTCCGCTTCCGCAAGCGCGTCCGATTTCGAGACTAACTCCGCATGCTGGGCCTCTAAGGTGATGGCACTACAAGCTAGTTTTAGGCCTTCCAAATATGATCCATCCTGAAGTGCGTCTTTGAAGACCATTTTGCCCTCTGTTGAAGATAAAGTGCTAAAGATGCACTCTTGCAAGATGAATTTCTTCAAGCCTTAAGAGTTGCTCCGTCGCCGCTGTAAAGGCTGTGTTGCTAGTTTCAAGCTCCGTGTCTTTTGACTCGAGCTCCAGATCTTTCGCCTCTAGTTCTGCATCCTTAGCTTCCAGCTTTGTGTCTTTCGCATGAAGCTGTTTGGTCTTTGCCTCCAGCATCTCACTTTTCGCTTCAAGCTCTGCATCCTTATCTTCCAAAGCAGCACCTTTTGCAGCCAGCTCCGCAATCTTCGCCTCAAGCTCTGTTTTCATCGCTAGTAACTCCTCATCTTTCGCCTCAAGCTCTGTTTTCGTCGCTAGTAACTCCTCATCTTTCGCCTCAAGCTCGGCGTCCTTTGCGTCCAGTTCGGCGTTCTTTTCTTGTAGCTTCGTGTTTTTCGACTCCAACTCAACGGCTTTCGCGTCCACAGCCGCGCGCAGCGCCTGCAACTCTGCGCCATTAGCCTCAAACTTCCTTTAGAGATAGAGTTCACGACAGTCTTTATTAGGTTACTTCATATTCGAGACTCCTGGTCGTTGTACGTTCACCTTCTCGGCAGGCCTACTTGTGCTTCCCTCTGAAGGTGAAGAAACTTCTCTCAAGTAGAGAGACGAACCTCTACGACCTCATGGATGAAAAATTCAGATGAAAATTAAACCTCATCATGGATGAAAAAAATGAATTAGTGAGTGAGCACCCTTAAGCCCTTTTCAGATCTGTTTCCTTCGATTGCAGTTCCGCATCCCTTGACTCCAGTTCTGCGTCCTTCTCCGCCATGCGTTGGGCCAGAGACTCTCGCGCTCCCTCAGCCTCTGCAGCCCTTTCCTTTGCAGCCTCTGTGTCACGTTCCGCCTCACTTTGAAGCGACATGGCTTCGGCAACCTGTGCTAGCATTTCAGATTCCTTGGTAGCAAGCTCTGCACGCAGTTCGATCATTTGACGCTGCCGCTCTTCAGATTCCTCGTCTTAGCCGCGCTAGAAAATCCTCACTATCTGTCTCTGTGGCTCTTGAGTGGCCTAGTACCTTCTTCATTTTTTCCCCGTGACTTCCCCTTAGGATACCTCACGCCGTGAGATAGATAGTGACTCACGACCGTGTGTCCAGCCTTAATCTTCAGCAATTCTTTGTAGTCGTTCCGCTTCAGCTGCTCGTGCGTCGGCAGCGTCAGCGCGCTCGGCTGTTGCGGTGGCACGCGCTTCCGCTTGTGCGACGCGTTGTGCAGCGGTCTCCGTGTGCCGGTTGGCATCACCATGAATTAGAGCCCCCATTAATGAGCTTTGAAGCGGAGAGAACAGTGCAAAACCTCGTGCTACTAAGAAACACCTAGAGAAGATTTCAATGATTCTATAGTGATCCAACAAGAACAACGTCGTGAAGGAAAATCAACATGACTCAGTTTTAGTAGATTTCTTCTTCATCTTCCTCCAGGGTTGTACTTAAGAAAGACTTCTATGATAATGAGATGATCGCGATTTTCCACCTGATGCCATACCCAAGCATGTTCAATGCACTCTCTTGCTCCGCATTCCAGTGCCCGTAATCTCGCCTCGCCTTCGCGAGCGCGCGTCTGTGCTGCCTCAATTTCACGCTGCGTCTCTTCGCGCAAACGTACTTCCGCGCGTTCATGCTCCTCGGTTAACTGTCGCAATTGCTCACTCGTTGCTGCCTGCATGTCAGCTCTTGCCTGGTCTGCCTCAGCCACTGCAGCTGCTGCCTGCTGTCGCGCATCCTCCGCATCGGCCACGCGAAGGGCGTTCTCAGCTCGCAAGGAGTCTACCTCTTCACGGCATTCCGCAATCTCTTGCCTTAGAGGTTGAGAGTTCCCGGCTCTAGCTCGCATGTGCTCTATGGCTTTCCTAGTACTTGAAGAAGCAAGTCATATAAAAGAGATGCTCTTAGATGAACATAGGTCAGGTCAACTTTGAACCCTTAATTGTCCCTGCTTTCGCGCTTTGGTGCGGAGACACTGCGCAACCCTTCGCAACTTCTGGATTGCACAAAGACGCCTCGAAGAGAGAGCTTCGACTACGTCAATCGGCAGCAATCGCGGATCCCCCTGCTCCTCTGTCAAAAAAACTATGTCAGCGCCATCTTCTTCAGAACGCTGTGCCTCGTTATCATGCAGTCTGAGATGAGTCGTGAGAAGATGATCTTTTTTAGCATGTTTTTTTATTAGCAGGTTTTTTTTACAGGAGTTTATTCAGTTCATTACAAGGTCTTAATCTAGTACTTTCGAAGGCGCCGAATAAAATCGATAAGATTTAACAAGAGTACAACAGAGTGGACTGGTCTTCTTCGTCAGCATCGAGTGGTTCTTCTTTCGTCCGTGCTCCTTCCGTCGCATCAAGGCTCTTGTCCTCCTCGTCGATCGCTGAAAACTTGTCATCGAGTTCGCGAATTTTCCTCATATGTCGACCTCCGTAACGGGCAACGAAGGCTCGCCAGCGATCCACCGCAACACGCAGGACAAAGCAGTCAAAGTCTGCACGGATTATGTGCAGATTTCGCGCAGCCGCAGCGTTCTGCTCCGCTGTCTCTCGCAACTCTACACATCGCGCAACTCGCTCGTCGTATTGCCGCTGTAGATCCTCTAGTTTTTGAGCACTTTGCTGACTTGCGCAAGTGGAGATCGACGATGATGAGTCAATTCCTCCTCCTCCTCCCACCTTCGACATCGAAGTGGATGCTTCATTCTTGCTCGAGGACTCAAATCCATCTTTTTTGTAACGTGGTCCACGACTCCGAGAGTTTGTTCCCAGCACGCCGCTCGCTATTTCATCCAGATCCTGTAGGTCCCTATTACGCGAGGTGCATGTTGCCCCACGCTGTTGATATTATAGTAAGAAGTACTTAATTGCATTCACTCATGTAAAGACGGACCAGCAGAGTGATCCACATCACCACGAACCCATGAAAATGATATAATATTCAAACTCATGCAGTACCACAGGAGCTGCCGCCCGGGTTTCTTGATGCTGTCCAACTGAGTCAGCGCATGCGTTTTCAACATCCTGATCTTCGTCTTCGTGCTCCCTTGATAGCATAGTTCTTGATGTGTTTTGCAGTTGGCCTCCCCTTCCCCTTCTATTTCTAGTACTAGAACCAGGCACAGACTTCATCGCCATCTGTCTCGCCCTCAGCAGAAATTCTTGATCGTCCTCACTTGCGGAAGAGGCTTCAGGGGTCGATCGCTCCTCTGCTGCCTCTTTGTGTATTAGAGCCAGACTCACAACTAGTTGTGTTTGCTCTGCTCCAGCATCCCTTCTAGGCTATCATCGCATGTCCTGTGGGCATAAAAATGGTCTCGACGAGTATTCCTTCTACACGACATACTAGTGATACTGTAGAGACATCTTCAGGGGAAGTAATAATTATATCAGACGACATGATAGTCTGAATCTCTTCCACGAACCAATCTGCGTCACCGGCTCCCTCGAACAGCGCCGCACACCCCGTCAAGCAGCATATACACCAAGAGCAGATCATGAGCCTTAAATTGTGTCGCGTCCTCCGACGAGAAGTATGAGCATCTTCTTCCCCATCCTGCTCACGGCAAACGGCGAAGACTCCTCGCGGCAGTCCATTTTGTCGACCTCCGCTCGTCGTCCTAGAAGCCCCGCTCCGCGACGTAGAAGAGCTACCAGATGATGGTCGAGGTCCACGCATGTTGATCATGATATTATATTACTTATGACAATGATGATGAGGTAGAGACACCGCCCAGTCAAAGGACGGGTCTAAGCAAGTGATCCGATCCTCCATCTAGAAGACGTGGTCTGGATCAACATCAAAGAGCACTACAAAGACCATCAAGAATTGGCTTTCTTCTCTCTTCTTTCATTTTCTCTTGTCTATTCTCCTTCCTTAACCTCCCTCTTCTTCCAAGTGTCTTATTTTTCTTCTCATTGACTAGAATTATTCTTTTCATGATTCATTATCACCAGCCAAAGCAGCAGAGGTGGGATCACGGCACCACTCAAGTCGACGAGCTCGGATGCTTCGCCCCCTCGTCGAACGCGTTGTGGCATCAACTTCGTGCGCCTTCGGCGCAAGTTCTGTCCAATGATTTTTTGTCATCATTTGCATTTCCTAGTCCTCTGTTGTTGTTTCATCTTCTAGCATGTCGTTTCATCATATTTCCATAATCAGCATCCAGCCCTAACTGACGGAAAATCTAACTAACGGACTCAAACTCATAGCGGCATTACTCAATAGCAACGGTGGACTTGATCGTTCTGGTCACGGTGACGGTTCACCTTCGGTTCGTCCCTTTGTTGTACAGCGGCGCGATGGTGAGAAGATCCAGTCTTCTACTTTTTATCTAGGAACTAAAAAAGCGTTTAGAGCCTGACTAGAAGGAAGAAGAACGACAACAGAGCTACGAGTGTATTTCTATTCTTCATTTCAATATCTTATTCATTTACTTACAACATACTTAATTCTAGTAGTTTTCGGACACAAATCTGCATGCATGCACGATCTTCGATGGAGGACGTCGCTAGGATCAGTCACTTCGGGGGTCATGTTGTGTCGCCTCAGAGGGACTCCCAAACAATGAGTATCGTCAAGCTGCAACTTTTTGAATGTATCGCACCCCCTCTACTCCCCTCTACTGGACCGCATGACCGATTCATGGCTCAAGTTCTTAGTTACTGGCCAGGTCGTTTCTTGCTCTGTCGTGGGGCGCAACGACATCAAGTCAGAAGTCCAGGGATCGCCACATGTCTTAATGCGTGCATCAAGACACCTGGCTATTTAGCTACTTCTACTTCTTGCTTCTGCGTGCATCCGCACACTTCTACATCTACGTCACTAGCTAGTACTAAACCCTCAAGAAAAGGTTGTCCGTTGTACGAGTCTTACTTGGTATCTTGCCTTGTTTCATGTCTACGTGGTCGTGCTGGTGCACTTTTCTCTATATTTTTACATCAAGAATGGAGTGAAATTATCTACGTACAATGTTGTACCGATACTAGGGCATACATGTTGATGTAGTTGGTATGTCATGAAAGTGTACTAGTTGTCATATGTTTATTAAGGATGATGATGGTCGACAATCACTACGTTAAATCTGATCAATTACTGCAGATACAGGTAGTACTGCGAGAAACAAATTCTTGGAAAATGTGAAAACTTCACTATTTTGCATAACACATGAGTAGAAGCAAGTAGATGTTCAAATTAGTAGTTTGTACTTAGTTGGGAATATGTTGAATGTCAATGTATGTTAATCTTAATGTTTAAGTTTAATATCCAGAAAATTTCACTAATAATTTTCATAAATCGCAAATTTTGTAGCTACGCCATGCCTCCAATAATATCGTGGTATGGATAAATTAGATTCTATTCATGGCATGAAGTTGAAATCAAATCAGAAGATTGCAAATTTTTCGCTCGATGTTGAAGGACCACGATCATGATATGATGAGCGTAGTTTGATGTGTACAAGTTATGCTTATCCCTACAACAGCAATTTCGACAATTCTCAACAGAAACATCAAGTAGAAGGCACAAGATCTGATTTAGTACAGGAAATACAATATGCATAGACACTTCATCTGCTACTTACCTGCAGGTCGTAGTATCACTCATCCAACAAAGAATCTGATTTGTACAATTTAGATCGACGTAAACAGATGAAGTGTGATTTCACTACTGAGAAGATGAATTCTAATGTGGACGACGCTCTAATAAAGACGGATTTCTTCCATATTATAATCCCCAGAAAAATCCGTCTCGTTTTTCTAAAAAATCTAGTGCTTCACTCGTCTAGTACCCTACTTGAACAAGAATGTAGTCCACCTCTGTGAAGCTGAATCATCATCTATGAAGCTGAAGATCTTCATACATAACAATCAAATAATCATGCTCCCCGTTTTATTTTGCTTGCCATCAGAAGTTTTAGCCATGACATGTTCTTGTAGTCTGTAGCTGTTGTACCAGTACAGAATATGTAGTAAGAGTACATGCTCATGCTCAGCATGATGTTTTCGGTTCATCCTGTCATGACTAACACTTATGATGTTCTTCATTTCTGTTCCTAGTTTTTCTACCCTCTGACGTGCAAGAAAAACAACAATCCTGATCCACCTAATCCCATTCAATATTCTCGCTGGCATTTGAACAAGATTTGCTGCTTACTACCTATCCCTTCACCCTTCCTCTACCCTCCGACTCTCTGACTACAGGTAGTACAAGAACTAGTCAACATTCAACAAATTCAATATCGACTAGGACGAGTCCCTACCAGTAGAGTACAACCCCTCGTCCTACTACCTCCTCTATCTCCTCGTCCTTTATCCTAGTGATAAAGTAGGAGTGTAGTTCTACCTCCTGATGATCCTCCTAGTGAAGATCCTCTATTCTACCTCCTGATGATCCTCCTAGTGAAGATCCTCTACAGATCCTCAGGATTCGCCAGCGTGTGCAACTCGTGAATCATATCACGCTTTGCCTCATTGGATGCGCGTGGATGCAGCGTACCAATCGGCATCTTGTGCTCGCGTACCATGCGAAGGATATCCGGGATAGAGAAGAATTAGAATGAGCTCCAATTTATTTTGGGTTTATTCATTTTGCCTCCTATGATGATAATTAATGATGCTCCAATTATTTTAATTTGCATGGTTATGATATTAACTCTATGATCTTCTTCATTCATATTAACTCTATAATCTTCTTATACTTATAATATATGCTTCTGGGGAGATGAATCAAATCAAGCGTAAAAAAAGCTCTCGTCAGCACCATCACGCAAGTCCTCCGTGTCGCGAATGCGAGCCATCCCGAAGTTACCCAGCGGGGTGTCAGAGGTAGTCTCATCAGATGCTCCACCGCCCGACGCACCTAGGAATTTTTAATAGGTTATGTCGTTTGGAGTGAGGTGGAAAATAGGACGAGTTATGAGGTTAGTAGATAGGAGGAGTTCCGAAATTTTTAGCAGATGGTTGAAGTTAGGGGATAATTTCAGTCAATTTTTGTTTCTCTACGTACTAGAATCTAGAAAAAGTTCTAACCTCTACTACTCCAACGAAAAGCAAAATACTAGAACGACTGTCTGAAAATAAACTAATTAAATTCAAATATCAACATAATGCAGTTGTTCTAGACGATAGTGGATTAGTTAATCAAATATCAACATAAATATTACCATTTTCAGTCGGGGACTCTTCCGCGTCATCCTCGTTTCCGGAAAAAGCCAGGGAGAAAAAACTCTCTTCTTGAGGGAAAATCGAGGAAATGCGCTCTCCTGGCATCGGATGCTTCAGGTGCAAAAAAGCGCGCTTGGTCCAGGCATTAGACCTCCTTTTCTCTAATATTCATCTTGAAGCGCATCTTTGAGCGCTTTTTCCCTTGACAACTTACTACGTGTCAATAAAGATGCACATCTTATAAGAGATGAATTTGGGGAAACCTTAAAAGCATGGAGGCCACGGTTGCAACGGTCCAGGTTCTGCACGCACCACAACAACGGAATGCGAACGAAGAGGTGGCGCGGCGCAGGTTGATGAGCGACGCTGCTCATTTGCTGCTGGTACAAAATTAGACGAGGATGGTGAGCCATGTTGTGTGGGAGTTCGAGTTCGATTGCTCAGTGTGAATGGTTCTGGTATTTGGTAGCCTGATTTTGATATAAGGGAAAACAAGAAGAGAATCCTTGTCGTGATCGAAGCTGCATCACAAGAGCACGTTGATAATCAGTTCGACTTCGAAGACGATCGCTAGAGGTTGGAAGCTCGCATATCTATGGCTTTCCTACTTGAAGAGGCCATAGAGATGCGCATAAAGATGTCAACATTGTCAACTTCCAACCCACCTTAAACTATAACTAAGTAACCTTTAATATTTTTGGTAGTACAACAACAACAGCAAGGTGATTTGGGTCATATGTTGGCTTGGGTTGTTCTTAATTAATATTGGTAGTACAACAAGAACAACGTGATCATTGCGAGTCAACATAAGGGTTGTTCGTCCATGTGGGTCATGGTTTCTTTTTTAGCGTTTTTCGCTGGCGCAAACCCAAACTCCTGGTGCGGGAAAAAAACGAAGGTGACTTTGATGTCGCGGGAGTCGGTGAACGTTTGGTTGCGAGCTGCGAAAATACGCATGTTCTCACGGGTGCCCTGAACAATTCCAGCAAGCAACGAGCTCAGTTCGTACATCCACAGGATACGGGAGAAAAATTGAGTGCGGAAGATGTCAAAGTTGTCCTGCTCGACCGCAGAAATGGCAGTTCCACGACGCACGTGCTTCCAGTCACTGTGCATCAATGCGGGGTTCGCATATTAGAGAGAGTAGGACGAGGCGTCTAGTAGAGTCTAGTGAGGACGACCCGAGAATGCAGATGCAGCTGGAGATCTACTTTTCTTATTAAATCTGGTGGAGAAGGTTCAGAACTTCGACTTCCTAGTAATAAAGGTAAACTACTTAGTAGAATGAAGGTACTAGATCATACTTACTAGAATGAATCCAACAAGAGTTGTTTCCCTTTGTTCCGTATCGTGGATGCAAATCTAAATTCTTTATTGACCTAGTACACTTTCGTTTGACTTTTACTACTAGTAGTCCTCGTTGTAGTAAAAACTACGTACTTGTTGTACCTACGGAGGGGGTAAAAAGTGATGATCGTAAGGATTCGATGGCGGAGCCGGCTTTTTGGCACGAGGATAAGTCGCGGTGGCAGCGGCTGCGCCAGCTGTGTCAGTAGCCGAGTCCGAAGCAGAGGCATCAGTCACCCCATCGTTGAAGTTCTCTGCTTCCGGTGCAGGCGGCGAGTCGAGCGTATTGCTCAGGTGGCCGGCAGCGAAGGTATTAGAAGTGGTCACTGCATGCATTGCACCATAGAAAGTCATCAGAAGATGCAAATAATAGGAGAGTCCGCCTCGAGGCACTTGAAGGTGTTGTGGACAATTGTTCAAACAAAAGTAGAAGAATGAAGAACGTAGGTAAGAAGTGCTAATGATCTTGCACATTTTCGTTTTCATTTGACACCTAATAGGTGCTGGTAGTGGTAGTGGTAATGGTAAATCCCAGCACAGATAAATCTAAAAATAGATTCACATTTAGAGGATCCATCTAGACATGGACATGGCCTTCTCCACATCATAACAAAAGGCTGCAGAGCAACGAAGAGTTCCACTGGGGTCTTGCTGTCCCACAACGGCTGGACCCCAGCGGCTTTCTCCTGGCGGGCTCGCAGGTCTGGATCCTGGAAAGCAGCCGGGCCCATTTTGTTAGAGGTAGGCTCCTCTTGGTGTTCTTTTTTACTGTGTGGTTCGCTATGCCTTTCCCCATTCAGAAAGGCAAAACGAACGGTGAGGACAAGAAGAACTCAACATTATTATCTAGTATGGCTTTCCTACTTGAAGAAAGCATAATAGAGATGCTCCTCCAACATAGAGATCATCTTCCCAACAAGTTTGAACCCCTAATTTTGGTCTCATCCCACACCAGTTGCGTCTTCACGCGAGCGCTGAGCATGGCGTCTCCAGCGGAAAGCGTCTTCCAGAAGACGCTCTTGGTCCGCTTACCAAGGTGGCTCAAACTGTGGAATTCTTTGTCCATCTCGCCAGGAAGGGTTAGGCCCAAAGCCTCCACCTCAGGTCCATCGGTCGCCATGGGAGGTCCAATTTTGCGTCCGGCAAGGGTCTGTAGTAGTAGTTGTTGTTCTTGTTGAACAATGTTGATCTTGATGATGAAGGATCGATCTGTGGTAGTCGTTGAACAATGATCATGATGACAAAGAGTTTCAATCAATGGGCCACTTGTTCTAGTTGAAGATGAAGTTCGATGAACAAGATCCTCCACTACTAGTACGTACTCAAAAGTAGTCGTAGTACTAGTAAGGGTGTAGTAGTACAAGTACTAGTAGCGACTACCTACTATTACTAGTTGTAGATGAGTATTACCTGATTTCTAACGTCGTTGAATACCTGGTTCCTAACGTAGTTGAATACCTGGTTCCTGACGTAGTTGAATACCTGGTTGTTCCTGACGTAGCTGAATTATACCTGGTTCCTAACGTACAGTTGAATACCTGGTTTCTAACGTAGTTGAATACCTGGTTCCTGACGTAGTTGAATACCTGGTTCCTGACGTAGTTGAGAACCTGGTTCCTGACGTAGTTGAATACCTGGTTGTTCCTGACGTAGTTGAATTTAATACCTGGTTCCTAACGTAGTTGAATACCTGGTTTCTAACGTGGTTGAATACCTGGTTGTTCCTGACGTAGTTGAATACCTGGTTCCTGACGTAGTTGAGAACTTGGCTTACGAAACTGTAAGTGGACGAGCCTCCAGCAACGATCCATAGCGAGTGGCCGTGGAACAAATCGACAAGTTTGTGACTGCGCTTTATTAGACCGCGAAAGAGTTCAACATTTCTCGATGCCTACATTTCATCTCCCAGTTGAGTTCTAAGTAGAGGGAAACAGGGAGAAAAACAAAAAAATGGCATTTCGAACTAGAAATGAACTTTAGTGAAGAGCCGTAACTCTAGGCGGTCGGTCATTCGCGACATCAATTTCAAACCAGCTAAAGCAGCTTGGTTCATCACAGGTTGCGTCTTGTTGGGTCCACCTTCCGATGCCTGCTTCATCTGTTGATGTGGTGAAAATTTTGATGTTGAGACTTGAGAGAGGACGAGAATGGAGTTGACGATGTTGCTTAAGAGTCTATAACAGACTACATGTTCTTTGATGCTTGCGACTTGTTGATAAGTACTCTTGAATAATCCTTTCATTGATTTAAATTTATTTCGCTATAACTATCTTCAAGCCCAAACTTATAGTTGTTCCAGTACCACCAGCGCACCAAGGTGTGGTGGCGTAAAAATGTAGTTTTTTTAGTACCAGTGCATCAAGGTGTGCGGTAATGTTGGCTTTGGAGTCTTTGCTTGCTTCAGCGCTGTGATGGTAGGAAGTTAGTTCACGCGCAAGCTTCTCTCGGGAAGAGACTGCACGATTGGTTTGGTTCAATGCCTTTTGCAACGCGTTGGACAGAGGGCGCTCCGGAACCACTTGGGGATAACTTAGAAGAGGAGGGGGAGGAGGAGAAGGAGATGGAGATGGAGGAGAGGTTTCGTCATCTCATTTCATTTCGAACAGTTACAACAAGTCTGAACTATCTACTTCGTCACCACGATGAAGAAACAGTAAAAAAGTTAGTACTTCTACTAGACTGACATGATAGAGTAGATGACAACTTCACTCAGTAGCCATAATTTAATGGATGTCGGTTTTTTACGCGTTGGCGAAGTCTGCTTCTTTTTCGGAGCAAAAAGGTCAAAATCGTCGTCAAATGCAGCTTGGCCGAAAGGGTCGTTGTTGCCCTCTTTGAATATTAGAGAATGTTGTACCGCAAAGATTTGAATCAGGGCGACGCTATTTTTCCCTACCTCAGCAAGGTGGAAGTAAAGATGAGTAAGTAGATGCTTCGGAAGATGCTGCATGAACTTGAAATACCCAGGTAGACCTTAGACGAAAAAATAATTATTCTCTACAGCAACAGAAGTAGATGACATTGATATTGATATACAAATTCTACTAGTGAAACTGTAACCACGGTTGCCTTAATTTGACTCCTCCTGCCACTTTGACATCAGCACCTCCGCGACCGGGCCAGCAAAATTTGAAGAAAACGAGGCCAAACAGAGCCAAGCTGCAAAGCATGGCCATACCCAAAAGAGTCTGGCGCTTGACGACGACGCGACCCGTCACAGGATTGTCGATCACGACCAGGGCACCAGCGAGATATTAGAAGAAGTGATTGTCAACATGTACATGAGTGCATAGTAGAACAAGTAGTAGAACTATTTTTCAAATTCATTCATGATGTATCTTCTTGTTAGATGAAGGAACAAAACTACATTTGTTGAAATGATAAGAAGAACGTGTGAGTAGATTTTAGAAGGAAAACTTGCGCACATCAACAAAAATAATCGTCGTGCTGGAGTTGGAGCCTCGTCATAACCTCTTTTTTTGTCATCGCGCCCAGAGAATGCGCTTGTGGGGCTCGGTACCTTTCCGCCAAAGAAACCACCTTCGAGGTCTTGGGTTGCGATCAAAGGGTGGGCACCCCCTGAAAGGGGCTGGGAAGACGTTGGAATCATCGTGCTTGACCTGCCTTCGTGGTCCGGACAGACACTGAAGAAACCGGAGGAACTGAAAACAATTCTTGTAACTGGAAAGCGGAGGTGGACCTGAATTTGTTTGATGCCCTAGAGTATTTACGTTTTCAGGAGCAAAAATCTTAGTAGTTCTCCAACTTCAAGTTCACCTTTCTTTATTTACCCGTTGTTCCGAGTTCAACATCATAATCTAATCTTCAAGTGAGTTATAACGCTCCTGAAGATGAACTACACGATGAATAAGTCGCAAGTCTGTAATTCAAATTACGTGCTTCTCGCCTCAGCGTGCTTGCTCGATTCGTCTATCAAAGTTCCTCTCTTGTTCGCTTCCGGCAATCTATAGAGTGGTGTGTTAGGATTCGGGATTTTAACGGACCTCGTCGTGCTTGATGTCCTGGAATCCAAATCTTAATCTAGGATTTTGTTTGCCTCGGATGAATATTAGTTGTGTAGTAGTACCCGCTGTTTCGTGTTTTTCTGCGCCTCGGTCCGAAGTCAAAGAATTTCGTTGACGGGGGTTGTTTGTTGCTTTCGAAAGAACCTGAACAAAATAGGATGTGAAAGGCGTCAATGTTGAGTGGATGAAACATGTTCGTTGCATGGATACAGTCTGAAGTAAAGTTGTAAAAAATCATTGTTTTTCATCTTCAATCAAAAGAATTACACCTTCTTTGAAGTTCGACCCGCTGCAATTCTTCTTGACCCGCTGCAATTCTTCTAGGGTCGTGAATGCATATTCTTGATCCTTGTTGATCTTTCGTCGTACTAGGGACTACAAGTATACAAGTTCATAGATAGGTAGTCCAACATAGGTACGTCTGCGTAGAAGTGAAAGAAATCACCTTCCTTCGCTTACTATTTTTGTCTTCTTAATTCTTGATCTTGTTTCTTGCCTTTCCACCTGCCTTGTTAAACCTTCTCTGTTTCTTTGTTGTAGGTACTGGTACTCAATGTTCGCTGTTGTAGGTACGCAATTCTTTCCAAAAGTCCTAGCTGTTCCAGCTGTTCCACGCGTTGTTAAACTTTCAACATGGACTAGTTCCTTCCACGGTAAGGAGCCTAGGAAAGGGGGTGGTGGAGCAAATTGTGTACGTAGAAATTTACCTGCAACAAAATGGTTGGTGCGTCTTGAAGATCATGGTGAGATGTAACTAGTTAGACTAGGTGAATTGCATGTAGGAGTAAAGCTAGGCTCGTCTGAGGGAAAACGAACCGGCTCGATGAATCATACAAGGTTTGTCTCGATAAACTATAAGTACATCAAGTTCGAGCAGGAGAACGACCACGACCGATATTCGACCGCCGAGTTCTTCTGTAACCGATCAAACATTACTCGCCTTGGATATCAACGCTGACGACATCAACACTGATCTTGGTTTGGATGATCTCTGACGCACGAGCCTCCACTCTGTTATCAATAGTCTCATAGATACCTCACCAGATGAGTTTACTCAACAGATGCCGCGACGCCTCCTCATGTTCACGCCTCACCTCTCAACCCTCTTAACAGAAGAACTACGCTCGTCTCAGACAGATGGCAACAATAGTATATCATATTGGTCTGACTCCTCGTTCAACCGTCAGCGTCACACAACAGAAGTAAGCAAGAAACGGAGTCAAATGACAACTCAGTTACGCTCACGGGTACAGAGAGTCACTGTCTTACCTCACGACAGTGACAGACGAAATTTATTTTTCCACAACACTTCCTTCTCCCTCGTCAATCAAGATTCCACGACAAGCACGAAACCACAAGCACGTAGAACGCGACACCCTCAAGATGAACACGACACCACGAGGATCTTCAAAAAGATCGAGACTATTTCTCCCTCAGGAACGCAAAAACAAACGAAGGTTAGATTAGTGCCCGCCATCTAAAGCGTAGATGGACATAGGAGGCTACTGAAGAGCCGTACCGAGCAACTGAAGCCTACACACTGTCTGCATAAAAACTTCTACGTGTAGGTGGCTACGAAGGCCAGCACTTTTCTGGTGTTTTTCTGTGTCTGACATTGAGCCCGTCATTCAAGCCATGAAAAGACATAATGCGCAGCTCCTGATGGCTCGTGTATTTCCCACTACAACGGTTAAGGTCGTTAATACATGGAGAATTGTAGTGGTGCAGTCTGTTCATGACCTTGCAGTCTGTTCATGTGCCAATGCAGATGACTTAGCCACAACTTCTAAACTTTCTTCATCTGAGAAGGCAGGAACAGGATTTCTGTGTACGGATTAGTTCTACTAGTGAAGATGCACATTTTCATTTCCTTCAACTTCTAAAATTTCTTCTTAGGCATGGATGGTATACGGATTAGTAGTGATGCAACATTACGGATTAGAGTAGGTAGCTTTTCATTTACGGATTTTCACGGATTCGAATAGATGGAGTAGGATAAATGCAACTTTTCACTTAGGGAAGTAGGATAGATGCAACTTTTCATTTACTAGGGGTCAGGATAGGTGCCGATCAGTAGATCTTCAGGAGTGTCGTGACTTCTGATTCGCAAATTTTTAGTCACTTTCTTTCAGTATACTGTGCTTATACACATGCACATAAGGTACTACCTTCCTATATCAGCACGTTTATCTTTATGAACTTGAACTCATCAAGAATGATCATGTTGTGAAAACTCCATTTAACATCGTGGTGTACATTTTGTGGTGGACATGTTATCTTCTTTTTCATATTAATCACTAAAAACTCCTTTCTCCCCCTCAGGACCCAACCGGTGGCAAGAGATTCGTGAGCATGTGTCCCTCCACGCAGTCTGATATCAGTGTTATCCTTAGACCTACTTTCTGGAATCCATCTTCAGAGTCCTCTCCTTTCTGACCTTCAGAGTCTGGACCACCCGGTTGTTCCTCTCCCTTAGAACACGACGTCGGAGGTCCAAGAAGATGCTTCTGAAGATGGATTTATTCCAGAAGTCGTAAGATCCCCCAATCTTCTTTCAGCTCTGCTGTGATCGCCTGGAGGTTTCTCCAAGCGCGCGCGTCTAAAACAGGCGGATAGATGCTACCATCATATCGCAGAGTGAGATGTCGAAACCTCTTTTTTCTCGACAAGTCTTGTCGTGGATTTCGCCGACTGTTCGGAGGCCGGGACATGAAACAAGGGTACAAAAGGGGTAGTTCCACATTTAATGCAGAAATTCTAGACGATAGTGGATAAATCAATCTTTATTAAATTCCTCACTAACAGAAGTCAATTACTCTCGAAAAATTCTAGACGATAGTGGATTAATCAATCTTTATTATATTCCTCACTAACAGAAGTCAATTACTCTCGAACGTTTCCTAAGTAAAGTTTGGTTGTGGGATTGTCGGACATCTAAATGAATTTTGACAGAATATGTTGCCTCTATCAAGATCACGATAGCGTTAGAAGTGTGGTCTCTCCTCCTGTAGTTCATCATCCTACTTCTGCTAGTAAGTACTACACTAGTTTTTCCTCAACGAGCTCATCGTAAATTCCTTCTTCCCACCGCTTTCCGCCTCATCTTCTTCGTCACTGGGCAGCAATCCGAAAAAGCTCTGCTTTGCCGTTGTTAGAGCTTACGGCCCTACTTATGATCCATCTTTAGACGCATATTGGTTTTTAACCCTAAAATCCTTATGAAGCAGCTCTTCCAAGATGCACTATCTAAAGATGGACCATTAGGGGAAGCCTTAACGTTGCGCCAGTCGGCGACTGCAATCGGGGATCTTTAGCCCGTGCGCCCCTTAAGGAGAGCAATAGCATGGAAATTCCGCTTAGACCCATCAGTGGGTTTCCGCCCAAATCTATCTCCACACGGTCACGCAATAAGTTCCACACAATATCGATCATACTGCGGCTCTCCAGATCCAAATTTCGGAAGCCTGATTTTCAAAGTCCTCAAGCTACTTTTCAAAGCCCTCAGTATTTCTATGGAGTAAAAATGTAGAGTGGACTTCCATCAAGTCTCCGTAGAAGCTCTATCTTTTAATAAGTAAGTACCAATGTAGTTTAGCGTCTTCGGAATATTTTCCTGGTGGAACAACGTGATGTTCTTGAACGTCAAACGTGTGAATTCCTCCTTCACCAGTTGCCCTGACCTGTTCCGAGGCTTCTTCTTATCCCCTTCCCCCAGGAGGTCTATGTTTCGCCCCACATGAACCGCCTTCAGTCCGCAGTGCAAAAACGGCTTCAGGAGGAGTTTCAAATTCTCAATACTCAAATTGCATTCCTCTAGCCACAATCTTTAGAGGACGTCTCCCCAATTTTAAAAAAAATCTGCCTCTTGAGTACTTTCCCTATGGATATCAATCCCTCCCCAATCAGTCGCGTCTTAAGTATCGCCACGACACTTGTATCCTACAAATATTCAATATTGGAGCACATAGGATAAGCCGAAAAAGAGGTCGTATCTAAATTGAGGTGCCTAAGCTTGAGAGATCGATCCCCAGCACATTAATAGTAGAGATAGATTAGGGGCAGGAGCCTTAAAATTCCTCGAGTTTGCAAGTCGGCGCTGCTTCGATATAGGACGCATAAAGTGCGGGATTCTCGCTAACATCAAGAACCTTCAATGGAGGAGAATTGTCAGCAAACAGCAAAGACAGCAAGTTCCCGACGCACAATCCGCAGTTTCGTAACGAGAGGTTCTGCAACCGAGTTTCTGTGCTGGATGAAGATGAATCGAGAAGTTTCGAGGACTCTCCTTGATCAACATGTTGTTTTCCTCGTGCAGCAGCAGTATTCTTTTCCTCTGCACGACCATCAAGGGACTTGGTTTGCTCCCTCAGACTTTTTACGGCCAAGTTTGATCAAACTTAGAGCAGTCAGGAGCTGACAAACCGAAACTTCTACAAGAACTTCTAGTTTAGTTGTACTGCTAACCTGGTTCTTAATATTACAACAACATCTTCTTGTTCAAGGAGGAGAAGTAGAAAGCATTACATCATGTTGTTCGACAACAGTGCGATATAAATATCTCGTCTTTTTTGGTCACTGATAGATAAGAAGCCTCTCCAGAATCTTTGCTGCCTCCATAATCTTTTCTACGTGGTGAGTTCCTGCCGCTCCCTCCTCGCGGAGACACTGACGTACAACCTGGTCCAACACGACTGCTCGGTGATACGACCACGTGGTTTTGTCCAGCTCCAGCCGCTTTTTTGTGTGCAGCAGCGCCTCCAGAGGTGGTAGCGTCTTAGAAGAACTATGACATCAGGATCCACTTCATGGAAGAAAATAAGGTCTGAAAAAGATGCATCCTCTTCTAAGTACTTGCTTAATCCCCCGAGAAAAAGGGGAAGCCATAATTCATCTCTCCCACGCCTTCCTCTTCTCCGGCCGTGTCCTCGTCCTCTTCTTCTAGCATGCACGATTTCCTGAACTCGTCAAGGTCGAAGTCGCCAGCATCTGAGTCCTCCCCTTCAGAGGCTTCACTGGGACTATAATCCCTTATCAGTTTCCGGATAGCCACCGGCAATGCCCCAAAAATCAGCGGGTTCGCTTTCAGAAAATACAACAAGCCCATGTCCAGCAAAGGGTTATCATCGAGAACAAGCGTCTCGATGGAAACCGGAAGGATTAACCTAATTGATGCGACGTGGAAATATAACAGGGATACGGCAGTGAAAGTGATCATGGTCGTATCAAGAAGGAATGCGGATAGGGTTTAGGTTATTAGGAAATATTCAGGGTGATGAAAAAAGGAGCTGGAGCAGGGGTGTTAATATAATTATCCTACTATGTTGTTGAGAGCAGGAACCAGCTCAAGTCTTCTTCAACAATCATGATGTATTGTAAGACTCCCGGCGTAACTCCTTAAAGTCTTGTTTGAATTACAACTAGTAGTCTTGTTTGAATTACAACTACAAGGATTACAACTTCCAGTACAAGGACTAACAACTAAGTAAGTACAAGGATTGCAACTTCTAGTACAAGGACTAGTTGTAATTTATCTATTAATATAATCAAGTTTTCCTTCTACAAGGACTAATTTAATATTTGTGGTGGAGCCGACCTAACTAGAAAAGAGACAGACCAAGACCTTTTTAATATCAAGTCAAGAAAGTCTTCAACAAAATAAGTAGAGAGTACTTTTTCACTGCTTGTTCGTCGATGCCACACCTCCGTAGGGAAAGATACTGCAAGTTCTCGTGTAGTTTCAGCATGTCTAGACACGTGGTGGTCATCTCCGGGAAAAATTGTATGCGGCACTTCTCCTCGATCCTGTCTAACATGTATTAGAAAGGAACAACCATTAATACAGCACAGTAGTTTTTTCTTATTTTTGAACTTAGTTAGAAAGGACGAACAACCATTAGTTTTTTCTTATTTTTGAACTCAACTTGAAGATTCATAAAAATAAGGCACAGTTGTAGTTATGATTCTGTGTCAGTGGTGTGGGGTGGTGTGCTGTTCTTCTAAGCGTTCGCTGGCGCGTGTCATGTCATGTCATGGTGCCTCTTTTATAGTGTGGGGGCCAATTCTTGTTTTTCAACCACCAAAGACGAAATTTTGTCATCTAGAGGACTTACTTCTTACTTACTTACTTACTCACTCAGCCATAAGCAATATCCAACTCTTCATCGCTCTCTGTGAAACCAGACTTTTTAACGATTCCTGTGGAAGTCTGGACGTTTTTCCTCGCCAATTGTGCTAGCTCGTCACGACCTGCTCTCCGGATAGGACTGTCTGGCCTCGCGCCGGCTGACTGGCCTCCAGCGAAAAAAACTCGCGACTGCTTCTTCGACTTGTGAAGATCGTTAGAGTGTGCAAATCTGGACGAGGTAATGTACATGAACATGTAGATAAGTAGTCGAGACAAAAGTCTGACAAAGACAAAAATGAACAATAGTGATTTATTGGCCGTGAAGATGAACGATAGTGATTTATTAGCCGTGAGTGTCGCCATCCTTCGTCTGTTCCTCATCATCGTGTCTCTCCTGTAGAGCTGAACCCGTAAGATTTCCTTTTCTTAAAGATTGATACTCAACAACTAAACCTAGAACGTCCCAAAACCAGCCTTAATTCTTTTCCTCCCTGGGCCACCTGCTCCACCCATTCCTCTTTGTGCTCCGTCGTCCTCCATTCCAAATCCTGAGGCCATCGTTGTCGCCTCGCTACTGCTAGATACCATATTAGATGACGACCTTCGAAATTTCGATCGTCCTGACAAGAACTTTATTTCTAGGGAATATCTAAACCTACAATCCAGTGGTCACTCTCGTCAATCATTTGGGAGCGACTGGCATTTGCGCGACCTTGTACACTTAAGACTAACAATATGAGTCTCAGCCCGTAAACATTACTGTCGCAGATGCTGATGACGGGTCTATTCGAGTCGCCGTTGAAGAAGCTGTCCGCATGGTCGAACTAGCACTACTTGATGACAGCTTCATCATACCCTGTCGCGCTGATACGAGTGTTGCTGCCCGTTGTAGGCCGCGCCGCTTTCTGCCTTGCGAGATTTAGAACAACAAGGGAGTAGTTATCTGGAGAGAGGTGTTATTTGCGCGTGTCGTCGTCGTGTGTCTTTGTCCTGTATTAAGTAACCAATCTTCGTGATCGTGATTCATATCTTGTCTAGAGTTACATCGAAGTTGTCCAGATCATCTAAGACATCTCTGATCGAGAATGGTCTTTCTCGTAATTGTCCAGATCATCTAAGAAAGAGACCACACCTCTAGTCTAATACAGGAACCTTCTCGTCCAGCTCAAGACCTATTTTATCATAAAAATGTCTACTTCCCCCCTCCTCTTTCGGAAAGAACTCCGAAACATCCTCGCCACGGGCCATCGCGGCTAAGTATTCCAGAGAAACCGGCTTGCGGAACTCTCCACTGTGCGAATCCCAACCCTTGAACGTTTTTCCTGTCAATTCTGCCACGTTTGTTCATTAGAGAAGATGTTCATGTACAAGCATCCTCTTTCAATCTGATACTAAAGAACAAATATTAGACTTCGAAACAGCAAGTAGCACGTGTGCAAACAGAAGCAAGAGCGTCCTCGAAGCGAAGTGTTATTATCCTGAAGACGATGTTGCGGCTTAGTCTTTTCTGGAAAGCAGCTGTCTATTTTTGAGAACCTAATTTTCGTGGTCGGTCAAGAGGCGCCTCGAGTCGCGCCAGAGCATTTGTGATTGCGGATCCGAACCCCGTAAAAGAGTATTCCGATTGGTCTCAAGCGTGTATTTGATATCCTGAAAGTCCAACATGTTCCCATCTAAAGTGAGGTTTCTCACTAGACTGCCTCCTTCCGCTTTTGAGACCAATTTCAGCAGCTTCGCCAAAGGCGACCCACACTGAAATTGCAGATCCGGCAGGTTCACGTCTCGCAAATTGGGGAAGATTAGATGAATGAGATGGAAAGGCATTGGATAATTCTGAATCAATGTTTGTCATGGTGTAGCACGAAGACAAAGTGACTAGCGAGGTGGTGATAGACGATGGAGTGGAAGATCTCCATTTATTGGACGCAGGTTTTTACGTCGTGGTGCCGCGTGGTGATGAGTTAGTTATAGTTGTACTCCTGATTTCGGAACACGCAAGGTTAGTAGTCGTACTTACTAACGACTTGTTGTTGTTCTCCCGACGACCACGTCAAGGAATTGAAACTCATCAAGAACAGACGCAAGTGCCTTAAAAACAAAAGCTGCATTTCTGGCGATGCTTTTGCTCCGGAGAAAAACTCTGCGCCTCGTCCTGCACTTCGGAAACTAGCTGGGGCGTGGAGAGATTCTCCTTGCGCTCCTTCAACAATGTTCTTGTTCCTCTCGTCCGTACTAGACATAGTCATTTTTTGATGCTTTTCTGTTAATTCCAAATTTCGAACGAACATTGGATCCACCCTGTAGCCTAGGCCACGTTCCGCCTCTAGCACTACATCCGTGTCGAAGGTTAGGGCAGGAAGCAGCTCCTTCAGCGAGTCCAGGTCCAACCTGCGGAGTTCACGCGCTACACGACTCAATGCCAAAACCATCGACTTTGGCTCGTCTCTTTTCGACAATACCTTCGAAGCCTCGTACTGCGATTGTCCGACTGTGTATGCCTGTTGTAGCTTTTGATTTCATTCACAATGAAGAATAAAAGCGCGACTTCGAACAAGATGGGTGACAAGTATGACATCATTCTTGTCATCAAAAATTATCTATGTATTACTACTAGTTTTAAAAAAGAAGATCAAGATCTAAAGTATAGGTACTTTCGCGTCCCTCTGTGTTGTTGGTACTTGTGTCCCATCAGGGAGGGTTACGTAATCAAGCTCCTTACCACTTGTACTTGAGGATCCACCCGACGCACTCAAATTGCCAGAAACTGCTTTCGTCTGGCCTATTCTTAGAACTGTAATTATTCCTTTAAGAGTGATTATTCCTTTGAGATCCCATTCACAGCTTTGATTGATCTGGTATCAATGCTCCTAGAAGTGCTGGTCTCCTGTTAAAATCTGGTGAGCGCCATAATACAGTGGACGGCGCTCCGTAATCCTGCTCTAACTGTACAGCTGCTTCTACGTCATTCGGTTGCATGTACTTGTACCCCGACTTCTTCTCCTGTATCAGCTTCGCCTTCTTCCTCAACAATACGTCTCGCCGTCGCCGTAACATCAAATACCGCGCTCGATCGTTCAGGTAACTGCTTCTATTAGAATGTCGAAAAGTTGTTGAGAATCAATCTCGAAAAGTTGTAGTATTAACAGGAGCTAGGGTGTGGTCTTCAGTGGTAGCTTCTGCGACGTACAATCTTCGTTGATGCAAAAAATTACAAAAAAACGTTATCATGTCAATAGGACCTTCGGGTTGGAGCACCTACAATCACACATCATCAAAGAACGGAAAACCTCAATGGACATCTTCTACTTGGTGACTCAGAAGCGGATCTTGGTGGGACAGAAGTATTAGTTCCATATTTTTTGCTGCTGGATTGAGTAAGTCGATGTCCTTCACTACAGTGGACTCCAAAACGTGCGTTGGGCCTTCCTCGATTACATCCTCATCATCATCCAAATAACTGCTAGGAACAACAGCGGCCCTCGCCATTTCCACCTCAGCGGGTTTTATCTTAGATGAGCTCAAAACAATTCACTTCTTCGCTTCATTTCTTCAGAATTTTTTCCTAACAAGAACTAAACCGAAAAAAATGAAGAAGATTCTTGGAATTCGAATTGTATTTGTAATAGAATTGCATCGAGCCTTAATAAAAATTGTTCCAGCTGTTTTATTGTCTTTATTCGGTGCCGCTGTTTCCTCTTCTGGAGCAGCCACTACTACGGGAGCTGATAACAAAGCATCGTTAAGGGTACACTCGCCAACCCCACTCCAGACCTTACCATCACCGGGAGGAGAAGGTGAAGACGCAGTAACCCAATTTCGCTTTGATGCGGAGAATAATTCCGCAAACGGGTTCTTTCCATACATCACTCCACTAGTACTACTGGGTTCCATACGACGCGGCCCTCGTGGCGATCCTGCATAAGGCAGGTTGAGGCTAGAACTAAATCCCGGAGACCCACTCGCTATGTTGCCGCCACTCGTTACATTGGGATCTATGCTCACTTCTCCCATGTTTAAGTCCTGTAGAGGTGGAAAGCTTGCTAAATATGCGTCAGGCAGTTTGGTGCGTGGAGACGCGCCTGCGTCTGTGGTCCCATGATGTGCAAGGTTAGTTGCTAGTATGAAAGGTGGAAAATAAAGTGCACTCACGACTATATTAGTACTCAAAAAATTGGGATTGGCTAGAAGGACTTATTTTGATAATAAGCATAAGGAGGGAACCACTTAGGCCCAGCTATAGCGAACTAGAACTACAACTTCTAGCTACTCTTTGGAGTACGCGTCTGCATGAGAGAGTGCACTTTGACGTTTTTCTGTCATAACTAGTGTACTAGACGTATTGGTTGTGCTGGTGCTTGTCATCGAGGACGACCGTGCCGTGGAAGATGGTGCCTGAACTCGCATTGTCTTCGATTTTGACCAACGTTTTTTAGAGCTCACCTGAATCCATCTTGGAGCCGTTTACGTTTTCCTTTTCCCCTTGCCTATGGGACAGCCCTAAGTAGCACTAAGATGCTTCTGGAGATGGATCATTATGGGACAGCCCATCTAACTAAGTAAGATGCTTCCGGAGCACCAGATGGATTAAGCGAACAAGCCTTAATTTTTGCACTCTGTGCTAAGGCATCTGCGGCTTTACGGGTTCGCTCGAGTCGTCGCAACGCTCTCCGAAAACTGTCAGCAGTTTCCTCCTCCGTCATCTGGATCTTGGGATGGCCTTCGGGGTAAGTCATCTTCTCTAGATTAGAGGAGAGAGTGAGAGGGAGAGCGGTGGTGAAGGTAGTTCAGTTTCACAGGGCATGATCGCGCAGTAGGACGAGTACTCGCCTGCTCAGTCAGAAGTAGTTTCATCTTGGTTTCGATATATCAAATGATCTTTATCTTAGAAGAGGTGGAAGAAGGTTTCTAATTTAGAATTAGAAAACTATAATATGATTAGTGGTGGAGCCAGCGTAGCTAGGACTATTATTCATCAAATTTGATCATCTTCGTTTTCGTTATGGTTTTCAACGTACAAAGAAGCTACTTACTTACTCAATGTGTGTGTTTGTGTGTGCCCTTCGTCCACCTTAAGGAAAATGTAAGGCAATACGCAGTAGCCTGATTCGCATGCCTCCTTCGCGGAAGTACCACTACGTGGTCGACTCCCTGGCAGGGTGCCATTATTACTACGTGCTGCTGCTGTAGCGGACATCTTCGTCTCCTCGTCTCCTCAGATGTTGTATTCTCAATTTGACCTGTTTAAGCTACTCCGATTTGCTTGGGCTTCAGGCAGGTTTCCAAAATTTGTTAGCTGCAGACGCGACTGCTCCTAGTACTCAGAAGTCAAAATTTCAAAGTTTCTTCGCTGCAAAAGGATGTCGAGGACATTCTGCTAATTTCTCGTACAGGCCTGATAAAGAGGAGGCCAGTGGTGTCACACAATCGCACAATCAGCCACGTGCACCAACAGCAAGTACACAGTAAAGTCACTGCTCAACTATCACGCTGTGCAGCAAGAAGAGCAACGAACTCCGTTCAAGCACACATCCCTACAATGTCTCTGAAGTCGGAAGAACGTGCTCGAGACGAGCATGTTTTCCCATGATGTTGTGGTCCATTCTCGTCCTTTCTAACTTCAATCTCATCATCTATAACTGAACAAGTCGAACCAGTTGTAAGCCTAGGAAACGGGGAGGTGTGGATAAAATTGAGTCTAGAAAGTTCCAACCAACAAAAATTATCATTATAAGTTCTTGAGAGGATAATATGCAAACGGAATTATTGCCTCCTTATTAAGTCTTTAAGCAACGATCAACGTAAGGTACAACTAGTTGATAAATGGAATTTTTCTTCGCCAACTACAAACTCGAAATAGCGACCGATAATCGACCACCGATACCGATTTCCGTAACCGATCAAAAATCAAACTACATGAACGCTGACGACAACCCTCTGACTAAGTACCTGGGTCTGAATCTTGACGGGCGAGCCTCCGCTCTCTTGTTAGATTTCAGATTTCAGGGGATGACGATGTCAGCAAGTTGTATCAGATACTGTTCTCGTCAAGTACAACAGAGGATGACGATGTCAGCAAGTTGTAATGTCAGATCCTGTTCTCGTCACGACTCAGTCTCAATAAGACAGTGTTCACGTCCTTCCCGTCGATTGTCCTGCCACAGACTTCCCGTCGATCGTCAAGGCAGAGCCTTGCTGCTTTTCAGGCGCAAAAATAGGGTTGCTCCCATCGCCGTTTGATCTTCACGATGTTCTTGTTGACAAGAATTTTTCGTTGGCTGCAACATCAACATGATCCTCGTAGTTAGTTGTCTGTGAAGACTCCACTAGACCTTTCGGAGTGAAAGTTCTAGTGGAGTCTTTTCGTTGCACCATGATCGCATTTTTTATAGATTCGCATTAGCTTGCCTGTGCATATTATAACTGTGCATTTTTGAATGTTTTTCGAGAACAGGAAGATATTTTCGATGTTATTGAGTAGATAGAAGAATGAGAATCTTCGATTGGCTTTCATGACATACTCGACGTTGTGCTTAACTTGAGGTAATGGGTACACACTTTGAACCAACAAACCAAGATCTATCAATAGAGTTCTTCTTTCGCTACTCTACGATAAATGATGCAACGTAGTTGTAGAGGAAGAAAAAGTCCATGGCCAGATTTGCGATTGCGTAATAGGATATGCAGAACTGTAGAGCTGAACGGTTTAGGAATAAACGCCCAGCACTATTCTGTCTGTTTTTTGGGGGCGTTTGTTCCTAAACTGGGAGAGAATGGGGGTGACGCTAGAGAGAAACGCCGCGACAGGAATAAACGCCGCGCCAAATTTTCAAAATCGTGCGCGTTTTTGCCTGTTGGGGGCGTTTATTCCTATACTGTGAAAATTTGCCTAGATTTCGTCCTCGTCTAACGTTCTGCGGGCGGGTTCGAGCGAAATCTGTGAAAGTGTTAGAAATCGGCAAAAGGTTAGCACCTAAACCGCATGGTTTAGCTCCTAACGCGGTGCGGCGTTCGCGCCTCTCCCCCACGCTAGAAGAGGCGCCGCGCGTCGTAGGCGGCAAAACGACAGGCCGCGGCGCGGCTCGGTATTCTGTGCCTGGCCCTTGTGTGGGGTGCCTCGCTAGAGTTTGGGCCGTCGGTCTGGGGATTGCGCCGCTTTGGTTGTTCGGTGGGCCCCATGGATTCCCCCCCCCGCCCCCCAGAATCTCGAGGCATTGGAAAACCCAACGAAGACTGGCGCCCAACTCTTCTCGGGTTTCTGGCGGTTTGGTTGGTTTCTTTTTCGTGTTTTGGTGCAGAAGGGCCGGGCATTTTCTGCGGAAGAGGTGGGTGCAAGCACCTAGCCGCCTTGAATAAGCTAGAAGCTAGCCGGGGTCTTGGCCACCCCGCTTTGCTTGACTCTCAGTCATTCGCTGCCGTTCGCCTTTTCCTCTGGTAGTTGAGTTCACTCGGGGCCTCCTGGAGGCCCGCCATGCGGAAGCGCAGGGGCGGGCAACCGCGGAAACCGTTGCGCCTTCCTCGTGTTCATATCTTCCGCCGTCAAATTTATTTGCGCCTCGCCCCCTTCGCGCCTCTCAATAGGGTCGCGCGGCTTCGTCTCTGTCGGTTGTTGGCTCTTGTTGGGGCTTGGTCAATTTTCTCCCACGTTCTTGACTTGTTTGTTCGCTCAGAGGCTTCTCGTCTAGCCGCATACCCTCGCCATCGATAAGCCATCGGTCCATGGGGTACTTCTGTTCACTGGTCTGCGTTTGCAAGGACTTCGCCGTCGGCCACTTGCTGGGTCTTCTTGCTTCGCTGTTCTTTGTCCATCTGGTTTAGGGCTTAACGCTCCCGCCCCAAAATCGTTCTTTTCTGGCGTTCTCGATTGTATTGCATGAGCTGCGAAGCCCCTTTGTTTTGCACTGGGGCTTGCTCCTGTTTAACGCTTTCAAAAATCTTCGCCTTGTGCGTTCATTCCTAGCGTTGCGTTAGCTTCTAACGCTCTGCAGATAATGGTAATATAATTCTTGATAGCACAAGCACAACTCGCGGCAATAGCAGTATGATGAAAATGCGAGGTATCGCAAGATCAAAACCGATGACATAGGCAAGACAGCTACAACCTACTGATCTAGTCTAATAGATTATCTCAAGCCGGAGAGTCTACAATGCGGTAATAGGTAAACACTTTGAACAATTGAACAGCAGGAGACCATGTGGTAATATCCGTGGTATAATATTTGTGGTAATATAATCTGTGGCAAAATCTGTTGAACAAGGATAGGACTTTTGATGTGGTAATAGGAATAAGAATAAGAATATGGGATTTGTTTATGGTAGAAGTATCTGTTGAAAGTAATGAAGTAATTTGTGAATGGCCCTAATCAAATTATGTGCTCTAACGTTCTTCAGGGGAACTTTCGGAATAGGGATTTTGTCCGCTGATCATGTTACTCATGTTCATCATGCATAAAAAAGTATGTAATTCTATCATGATCATGAAGATGTGGTTCTTGCTCAGCAACACTACCTTGTCAATGAAGATAATGTAAGAACTACTAGTACATTGAAATAAATCAAAATGAAAACGAAAAGATAACTTATTAAGAAACCATGACAACTATGAAGATCACTACAAAAAGAAAAACTGACAAGCAGAAATAAGCAGACATGAAGAAGCATTACTGGTGTTCTTGTAGGAAGAACTTCTATTTCATAGCTCGTTAGTTTCTTCTTCTACTCAACAAGTTAGATTTTGAAGTGTCTTCGCAAAGCCTCCAGGACGTCCTTCCTTCCTAATCGAACGGCCTTTTTTACGCAAGTTTCACCATCAAAATCTTGGTGTCGCAGCACATCATGCAAGACCGTTGCGTCCAGCGCACATGCCTTCAGCAGCAGCTCTATCAGATGCACGTGTACTCCCACACTCTCAATCGCCATCTGCAGTACGTTGCGACCGGTGTGGCGGTCCGTCTGAGCAAGGGACTCAATCCACAACTGTTGAGCTTGTCGTCGGCACATCAGGGAGTCCTCAGAACAAGCTTTGTTCGTACCAGCATCAGTTGTTCTTGCACGACCGCTAGTTTCTGTTGTTTTTGCACGACCGGCAGTTGTTGAGGCCGTTGTAACCGTTGCACGAGATGCGTTGTGATGGTGTTCATGTTCTGCACTATTGGATTTGACAGGGGTTTTAGTTGACGTTCCTTCAACTGCATTCATGATCCCATCAGCACTACTAGTACTACCCGGCAAGAGTACTGAGAAAGCCCGCGACACGAGTGCACCGGCAGCGGTAGCTGCTGCCGCGACTGGTTCGACGCTTAGGATTCTTCCCGCTGCTTCTTGAACCAGTGAACCTGCGGTCAAATTAGAAAGCCTTAAACAAATTGCCCCATCTAGAGAGTCTCACCTTTGACCAGTGTGCTTCCCTTCAAAAGTGTTGTCTTGTCTTCAAAGACAGGTGGTTGGCAGGTTCACTTGCATCGTCCCTAGTACTAGTACTCCTCGACGACCACTACTGGCGGGTCGATATTACAGATTCAAAGATGGTTCTTGTATGTTGTTGTTCCTGTAAGCAAGAGATGAATAAATAAATTACATAGTACCATTACTTAGTTACGCTTGTTAGCCTTAATCAAGACTCCACCTCTGCGGTCTGGAGAAGCCAAGTGCCTGGCTCCCGTTGTCGGACTGGGACTGAGGAAAAGCTGTGACGCTCCATCGCGCTCTGACACCGCCTTTAACACCCGCTGGACGTCGCAACCCGGCGCCCGTCTAGGTGCGCCTGTCATTAATTTCCCAATCATTAGAAGTTGCAGAAATCCATCAACATCTTGGTGCGGTGCTCGTTTTCTTGTTGCTTTCACAAACAGGAAGGCCAAGCAAGATGCTGGGGACGAAGATGGATTTCAAAAGCAATCACGTGCAGAAAAGGCCTTAAAATCACGTGCCTTTCAAATTCGCTGTCGCTATCGCTGAAAACGACTTCCTCTGGATCCATAGGTTCCAAATACAAAGGCGTCCGATCAGAAATTTCAGCCTTTTTCTTCGTAGCTTGATTCGCGGATGCTTTAGTAGAGGAAAGAGCAGGCTGAGAGGAGGATGCCTTATTACGTTATCAGTTGCATGTACGACTTAAATTGTAAGGGTAAAAGAGCATTGTAAGGGTTTAGCATTTTTGTAAGGGTACGAGGACTTACATTGTAAGGGGTGTAGCGTGACGAGGAGGATAAAAGAGCATTCTGGATCTGGTAGAAGTACTTATGGCCTCAGGCTCAGCATCATCATATTACAAAGTAGAAGAAGTAGAAGGCGCAAGAAGAAGAGTTGTAAATGTAACTAAGATATCTATGCCTCATAACTACGTCATTGAAGATATCTGCACTAGCTCCAGACGGAGCTTGTTTGATATCTTGCTTCTGCACGCCAATCCACTGCTGTAGCTCTTTGGTGAGTACCTCCGTTGTCCCCGCAGCAATCTGTACTACTTGAAAACGGGTATCTTTCCGATATTTGCGCAGTTTCAGCCTTCTCTCTTCTTTTTTTCGTTGCAGGTCTGCGTTGGCCCGATCTGTTGTCCTCCGATCCTTCTTGTTTTGGTCTTCCTCACCGTCGTCGGACTCCGATTCGGAGGAAGACGAGTCAGACAAAATTTTGGGTGCAACCAAAGGTCGATAGGGTGGCGCGTTAGGATCGTCGTCGGGAATATTCAGGCGCGGAACCTAAAGAGTCAATGAAATTGCAAAATAAGAAAAAGTTGTGAAATATTCCGGTTTGGGTACTAAAGTATTTACGCCAGACTGACATCAACTTCAAAAGAAGTCACACCATTAATGTCATCACGTGCCTCCTGTGCTAGAGTGAGATGTCGTTGATGTCGAAGAAACAAAGAAAATAACGAGAGCAGGGGCAGGCAGACTCCTCGAGAAGGAACAAATCAAATCATCTTTATCATCATCACGCAGCTGCACATGGAGCACTCCTGCTATAATAGTACCTGTCCAGGCCGTTTGAACTTGAATATTCTGGGTTTTTTTTGCCAGAATCCTACTGCGGCATTGAGGCTGCCATCTACCATGGAGCCTTCAGTAGACACGTTTAGCATATGAAAGAGCTCCCTGCTATCCATACCCCATCCGCACCGACTACAGTCCACAAAGGCCGGTGGTGCCTGCAGTTGATACAACAATTGACAGCCTTTCGCGTTACCAGGATTCAGCAAATTGCTCCTCGCAACTTCAGAACCCGACATGGTTTCCAGCATCTTTTTTTGAGCTGCGCGCTCCTTTTCGAGTGATTCGCGCACGCGATTCTGCACCGCCGTTTCTAGTTCTGAGGCTGCCGCGGCTTCTTTTTCTTCCTCTTCTCGTTTTAGATGCCTATGTCGCATAGCCGCAACGCAAAGTGGCCCAAAAATTAGCTGTTCTAACAGGATTGTCAGTACTGGCTTTGTTCGCCCTGCGCGGTCCCTCAACGCGAGCTCAGTGTAGGAGGTGGTAGTCGTGCTGGTGGTCGTCGTGGCAGGAGGACAAACAGTACTAGGACTAGAAGGAGAAGTTGTAGCACATGTCGGATTATTGGAAAATGGAAGTGTTGGATTTCTTTTTATTGCAGATGAAGCGGTGGATGAAGCGGTGGATGACATGATGGACGTAAAACTTCGGGATGCAGATGAAGAATCTGTAGCTTGTTTTAAGCTGCTGTCCGATTCGGTGGCATCAGCAGTCAGCAATCTTCTCAACACACTAGCAGCCACAGCTGGAGATGTTCTTTTCATGCCGCTTCTATAGTTGTTTCCGCGGCCGTCCGCGCTATCTGATGGATGTGGTGGTGTGTCTGGTGGTGTACTACATATGTCGTCGTTCTCTTCTGCAAAAGCTACGACTGTTGCGGGCTTTATCTGCAGCTGCTGCATCTCGTTTTTCTTATTTTTTGATGTTTTGTCCCTAGAAATACTAGTACCAAGTAGAGACGCAGAGAGATCTTGGTCAAGGTTCGGCAGATCCTCCATTTGTTCCCCACCTTGTAGACTCAACTCATCATGATGATCTTCTTCTGTGGAGGAACTGCCTCCTCCTCCCGCCGTTGATGCATTCATCCCAGCTCCTCCTCCTGTATCATGCACGATAATATTGTTGGTACTAGTAGTGCCGAAAACTAGGTTTTTTAGTTCCTTTTCGTTCTCGTAGCCATCCCACCACTCGCTGAAAATCGTCTCATTCGAGGAAGACGCGGCTCCTACAGTCGATTGCGCCAAGGCAATCATCCACACACTTTCGCTGCTTTCGCACACTGGCTTCACCTTGAGCGATCCCCATGATGGTGGGGAAGAAGAAGAACTCCCACTCCACGAACCATAGTTGGAAACCGCCACCCCACTCCGCGAAGAGTTGGCCGCTCCTTCACCCCCGAACTCTTGTTTCGAATCAAGCAACTGCCATGGAGGAAAATGCAATTGCGAAAAATGCATAAAGCTGAGACCCTCGCCACTGGTGTTGGTGGCAGCATTTTGGTGTTTCTGTTTCCCGTTTGTTGTGGCTCTCTCCCTGCTCAGGAGATGAGGCAAGACAAACGATAACTACAGGAACATCACCTACTCTATAACCTTACTACCCTTAATGCTACCTCTGAAGATATCTCCACTGCTGTCTCCTCCTGGTGCCTCTCTTATAGCACTCCGCAAAATGCCGCAAATCCACTCGCTATCGCCACTTTGCACAGCATCGAGAAATCCTGTCGATTCAACCGGTCTTGTATCGAAGTCAAGCGCAAGTCGCGCATGACTCTGAAGACTTGGAGTTCTAGTAGTTTTAGCCGAGCGCTCTTGATTCACTTTAGCTGCCTGTGTCGACAAAGTTTTTACTGCGATGCGCAACGCAGCGAGGTCGGCACCCGTCTCGAAGTTCTTACATGACGAAACGTACCAAGAAGATGGTCTTCCAGCTAGAGCGCCGTCTTTTTGTTGCTGCGCGGCTCGAAGGAGAACCGGTATCTTCGCAGCACCCTTCTCTTGATGGTGCATTCTTCGTCGTACGTGTAAGACACGAGATAACCGGTCACCAGATCGCACACCACTCGAAGTCAATAGAGATCTCGAGGAGAATCCTTTTCCTGTTCGTGATGTCCCGTCGCATCTCCCAACGTCCACCTCCTCAAAATCGAAACCCAGAGAGAACGCCATCGTGGTCGAAGATGCAGAAGATGGTTGTTGTTGACTTCTTTTAACTATCGTTCCTTTTTCTCGAGGATCTCTCCCTCCCGCCCCTTCTAGAGACGAGGTGGATCCTGGTGTGGATCCCAAACGAGGTGGAGTCGCAGTTATCAGGCTCAAATCTGGTGTCGTTGTGCGGATTACGTGAGGTCGGTGGAAAGCGTCCAGCGAAACTAGAGGCACATCAGGAAACTCCGACAGCAGGAGCTTGCAAATCTCAGCATTGCCCATCAGCCGAGAAACGCGATACGCCACGGAAAAAACTCGGTGGAGAGCTTCAGTGCGCAAGGCTTCGTATTTCTTGCTAGCCATCAAGTAGTTCTGCTCTTGCTCCTCTAAAAATTCTTGACCTTGATCTTTTTGTCTCATGAAAATCGATGGGCGACGCAATGCTGCGCTAGTAGTACCAGCACTAGTAGAAGACCAGGACTTCTTGGCTGGTGCCACGCAAGCTTTCGCTTTAGTGATGATCGTTGCTGCGATTTGTGCCTGTTGTCGCTGTGCATGTGGTGACATCGTGGTCGAAGGTGGCGAGGAAAAGGTAGAGCGGACACCAGAGTCGTAAGCAATCCGATTTTTACCTGGGCCAGCACCTAGCAGGGACACGAGAAAGAAAAAAGCAAGCGTTCGCAACTGCTCAGTCTTGCCCAAACGGTGAAGGAAAAACTCGGGACAGTCTTTTTCATCAAACAGAGTCTGCAAAGCCGCGGGTCCCGATGAAAGCAGTGCCGCGACTCCCAGAGTTCCCGGAGAGAATCGTACCTTCTCAAAAATCCGCACTCTCTCGCGGCTCACTCCGGCATCACGAACCAGAGACAATACTTGCTTGTGGAGAGGCAGGGCAGGAGTCGCAGGGATCGTCCAGTTCAATGGAATGAGCAACGACGAGGGCCTCATCCAGTTCTTCGAACATGATTGATGTTCGAACCCAATTATGCTTCCAGAAGTTGTATCGGAAGATGCTAGCACTTTTAACAGACCGAACCCGTCGCATGACCTAGTCGACGCTCCTGTCGTCGCGATCGAAAATAGAGGATTTGAGTAACTTCCTGCACTAGTGTTCTCTGAACGCTGAAGAGCTTCTGACTGAACCGCAGCAAGTTGGAGCCGCTCTCCCACTGCGCGAAGAAACCAATCCGGGCAGTAGGATTCATTCGCCCGACTCTTCTGGTTCTGATTCCGCGTCAAAGGGCCAGAAAGAGAACAAAGTGGTCCTCGTCGTCCTTGTCCAGCGTTGGCGTAGGCGTAGTTGCCACTCATACCGTGATCACTATCCAGTGGCGAATAGACGAAGTTCAAATGTTGAGCAGCACCGCCAATTATACTAGCGCTATCGCTAGCACTACTATTTCTATTGGGCACTAAAGAAGAACGGAATTCGAATTGCTCCCCTGCTTCTTGCCTTTTGGAACTAGACTGAGTTGTCATTCCCTGTTGTAGCTTCTCGAGATCTGCTAAAGCAGATAGCACCAACTGATCAGATGACAGTACTCCTCCAGCACTTTCGTTGGAAGTGCCTTCGTTGGAATTTTTTTGGGCTTTTCGTGAAGAGGTGGATCCTCTAGTAATTCTACCGGACGAAACTGCAGTAGTCTTGCTATTCCTAGAGGTGATCGCCAAAGCAGAGGACCTTGATGTTGACCACTGCTCTTCTTGTCGTTGTCGTGGGACCTTGTTTCGACATCCTGCTCCTGCTGTGTAGGATTTACTCAGAAGATCATCCTGTTGTTCGTTCTCCTCGTATCTATCACTGTCGTATTCCCTGTTGTTGTAGTTCAAAGCCCCACCTGCAGCCTTACTTGAAGATGAATCTTCGACGTGATCTTCTCCACGAAAAGCAGAGTTGGCTTCTGCACCCAGCTGGGCTGCGGCATGAAAAAGGTTGCTTAGTCTCTCCTCTCGTCCTAGTTTAGTTCTAGACACACCAGTCTGGTCTTGGTACTCAACCACTACGAGTGCTGATTTCAGTCCTGAAGTAGAACAAGAAGTTCTTGTGCCTTCTATCCCTGCAAACAAAGCTGCAAACAAAGAGAGGTTTTCGTGAGTTCCATCATGTGCGACGTTGCAGAAATTATACGACGCACTGCTATCAAAGCTACCTCCTGGCAACTTCACCACAACTTCTGCATTGAAGGCTTGCATTAGCAACAAGTTTTTGGAAGCGTCGCTGCTCAGCTTGCGACTGCTCTGCTTTCTCACTTCCCCCGCAAAGCGTTCAAACGCACTTTTTTCCCCTGTTTGAAGAAGAACTCGAAGAATATCTTGTACTGTCCCAAGGCTCCGGTCCGCGCGCCGCTTCTCTAACATTTGAAGAACTCGACACTCGTGCTCTTGCAGAACTACTGCATTTGTGCTAGCACCAAAATGTGAGGTGGACCCACCTCCACCTCCCCTAGTACTAAATGAAGAACTAGTACTAAAGAGCATCATACTGCTCAAAGTTCTGGAGGATGAAGAGTCACTGCTACTTCTAAAGGATTTGCCCACTCCAGAAAGAACGTCTGAAGGTGATGACTCCCGGTCATTCAAGAAGGACAACCCCGCTCGCCCAGATTTTAGCCATGAAGTGTTCCAATCAGTTAGGATTCTATCCATTCGCTTTCGCTCCGAGAACATGGCGGTAGTTGGCCTCCTGTTCCTCCAGTCCTGTTGTATTTGGACAACGTTTTTTCTCGTCCTGCAACTTCTGCTACTAGCGCCCGTCTGCCTTTTCAGAAGTCCCAGCTGCGAGGCTTGTTGCAAAAAGAGACCCTGTTCACCGAATTCTTCTACCAGTTCGACAACTAGAGGACGAATTTGAGTCAAAATCCTTCGATGTCGTACGTTGCCGCTATCAAACGGAATCCGTCTGCCGTCTGGCATCATAAAGGCGTCAATACGATCACCGGGAAGCACGACGTCGGAAGTAGAAGTACTTGTTGTGCTACTTGCTTGATGAAGAGATTGCTCGACAGCCGTTTGGAGAAGATGCTTGCTCGTGTTTGATGTAGTTGTCGTCCTTCGCGTTTGACGCCGAACTACATTCAATACTCGATTAGCATGCAGAGCTGAAAATTCCTTCACTGCTACGTGTTGCTGTTCTTTATTGTCAACCTTGCAGCTTTCGTCGCTTACGGTTGTCGGGCACACATACGAGGTCCACGGGAACGCATCTGCTTTTGTCTCAGCCCGCACGATGATCCGTCTCTGGCTTTTTGTTCTTTGAAATCGGATCCAATACATTTTTTCTCGTCTCGCGTACTCGTTCTCTTCTTCTTCTTCTTCTTCGCTAGATTTTTTACGTCTCCAATTAACACCCAAATTTTCCTCTAGAAGTGTGAGAGGTTCAACAGTTGGTGTGTAGTACTCTAAGCCTGAACTATTGGTGGATGAATTTGAAGCCGAGGATGAGGAGGACGTGGACGCGTCTCGAGCGCCAGTGGTGGTTGTCGATCTCGAAGTCGAACCCGTGCTGGGATCCAGAAAATGTCCAAAATCGTAAATTTTCCAAGTAATATTACTAGAAGAAGAAGGACAAGAGGTGGACAAAAGCTGCTCTACAACTGCGTCTTGATTTGGGAAACGAGCGTCGTCCATCGAGAGAACTCCTCTGTCTAAGTCATACTGTAGTCGGAACCCATCTCCGGAGCGGAGTAAGTAGACGACCACAAATTCTTGCTCCCCTGAAGTAGAAAGAGCTGAAGGGGAAAAGTTCGGATAAACATGCAGAAGTTCTTGTTCCGCTGGGTGGAAGAGGTAGTTGTTCTGCTGGTAGTTACTGCTCCCAAGATTTTTTCCAGAAGACGGCCAGCAGGACACAGTAGAGGCAGAAACTGGAGGACGCTTCACTTGCCGCATGACAAGCTGTTCGCTGCTAGAACGTAGGTGGGCGAATTGACTCTCCTTGGCCGTGTCTCCAACAAGGACTAAAAGATCAGACGGATGAGCGTGCTGCTCTACTACCAGAGATGAAGTAGAAGAAGTTCTAGTACCAGAGCAGTCAGTTTCTGTTGTACTACAACTAGTTGAAGAAAATCCACCATCAGAACTGGGACAGCCCTTCAAACTCCGAAGCAGCTTCACCTCAGATTCGCTGAGACCTTCTTCCTCCCGTGAGTGCGAGGAGGGCCATGGAAGATTTGTTGTGAAAATGGATGATGCAGATGCTGCCTGCTCTGCTTCAGATCCAGGATCGGTCTTCGAGAAGTTATCGTCGTGGCAGGTGCTACCAAATCGACGACTTTTTCCTGAAGAGGTGCTTCTGTGCTGATCATAAGAACTACTACTACTACCCTCCCCTGCTCTAGTACTAACAAGGTGCAGTTTTCTTCGAGGATCTTGTTCGAGAAGGTGGTCGTGATCTTCTTCATCATCTGGAGGCGTGCTGCCAGTTCTACTTCTACTAGTATGGAGCAGGTGACCACTAGTGGCAGTACAGCTAGATACAGCGGAGAATGGTGAATCCACTACACGCATGCGATTCCGAGCAGCCGCCTTCTTCTCCAGATGTCGACTCATGAGTCGACCAAAGTTTGTCCCTTGTTTGGCCCGACCACGGTTGTCTCCTTGTCCTCGTCGCATGTGACTGGTGGAGCCCACCTTGTTCCTGGTACCAGAAGTGGATATTAAGAGTTGTTCTTTCATGTTCCTCCAATCTTCTGGTGGTGGATCTCCATCTCCACGAACTCCTAGAAAACTACCACCTTTGCTTGTTTCTACTAGTGCTGATTGGTCACGATTTTTATCGTGAAAAAGATGATTGTTTTCACTAGTCGTGTTGGAATTCCCACTTGATGTGCCACCAGTCTTCGTTCTTGAAGGATGCTCTTCAGATCCTGCTAGAGCGGGAAAGTAGTGGTCGGATGCTCCAGATGACCAGAAAACTGCTGCAAAGATTCTGCCAAAAATTGTCGTATCTTCTTCGCCCGTTGTTGTACCAGACTGAGACTTCTGGGCTCGTGGGACCACCATAGTAGAAGTAGTTGTATTGGAGGCACCCCTCTTCTTTCTTATTGAGCCAGATGCAGAAGATGTGGATCCATAAGTGGTTCCTCGTCTACCAGGGCTTGCAGCTAGATACTCAGCCAAAGCGCGTTCCTGCTCCTGCCTGGGGCTATCTACGAGAGCAAGCATGCGCGCGAGTTCGTTAGAACGCGTGTTGTTTCCGAGACAAGCGAAGCAGGCTGCAGCGGGTAGCAAAGAAGGACCTGCTCTAGCTTGCTCGTCAGGGTGTTCTGCTCTGACCGCAAAGCAACCGCCAAGAATACGGGAAAACACCCCACGATTAGCCGCTTGCTGCTCTCGGAGCGTCCGAGGACTGGGAGAACCGCTAAGACGAGGCACCATGATTCCCCCACCGCCTTCTCTCGAGGAAGAATTGCTACCGATACTTCTGCCATCTTCATCCTCCTCAAAAAGAACGTCTGATGACGACTCCGGATTCATATTCTTGTGCTCTTCCAGCATCAGATGATGAGTAGCACCACCTCCCTGTGATTTTTTGGATGAGGAAGAACCTCTTGCTCCACCGATCTCGATACTGCTGCAGGGGCTCCCGTCCAGCTCCTCTTCGTCTTGTTCCTCTAGATCATGATCTAGATCTTTTTCGTCTTCGTCGTCATCAAGTGATCTCATCTTGTTTAGCACCTTCTTCCGTTGAGCCTCCGTTGATGTTGAAGCGATAAAGTCGTCACATGGCGTCGTATGGGCACTCCATCTGCTATCGATTACGGAAGACGATAAAAGCGATTCCATATCTGTATCCAAGTCGAGCTCTGAATGATCGTAATCATCATCATGAAGATGTCGATCTTCGATGTCAGAGCTGTCGCGGTCATCAACCCTATTTGTCGATGGTTGCACTTCTATTCCCAAAACTTCGCGTCGATATCGACGTAGTAATCCGTCTTGGGGTGCGGGCGTGCCTGATACCACCGAAATATGGTCGCAGTCGTGCACAGAAGAAGCACCGCACACCGACTCGTCTTCCGTACAAGAGCTGGTTGTATAAGCGTGAAGTTGGTTCATCTCTGTCGTGGAGGATGAGTAGGAGCCGCGTCTGTTAGAAATAAAAGAGATATTATCCCTCCCCCGCAGCATCTTGGGTCCGCTTTTCCCTTTAATAAAAACGGGACCCAGAAAGATGCGTGCCTGTGAAGATGGATTTCTTGTACTTCTAGCCTTAATTCTGTGTCCCGGAAAATTGAAGCTATCGTCATGATCATGGTGCAATGACGAGGAACTAGAAGACATCTTCGAAGATCGGGTTTTCGAGAAGGTTGGACCTCCAGAAGAGAGTTTGCTTCCTCCACTAGTGCTCCCATTCGAGTCTTCTGTTATTTTCAAGTCTGCATTGTTCTGAAGATTCTCTCCTTCCGCGGGAGGAAGGACGCCTCTTTTGTCGCGCTTCTTGAACGGGGACTTCAACAACGACCTGAGAGATGACGGCATCATCAAACTTGACGCTGATCTTCCTTGATCTTTCTTCGTCTCTCCTTCCAGACCTCCGCCATCAACCATGCGCAATTGCCTTTTCTTAGGCTTCAGTTTCTGCATTCTGGAACCCGATCCACGTCGCAGGCTCGAAGCTCGTCTCTCTA